GACGATCTGATGGCGGCCTGGTTGTCGGTGTGTATGAAGACTTTGCTTCGGTGGTTTCCGTTTTCCTTGTCTGCCTGCGCCATCTCGAGGGCCAGGACGATGCCCTGCAGCTCTCCCGCGTAGACAGTGGATGTCGTGTCGTCCCCCATGTGAGATTTCCTAGTTTGCTGTGTGGTTGTGCAGACTGCTGCCGCTCCGATCTGACCGTCGATGCCGCTGCCGTCTGTATAGATGTGGGCCGCGTCGGTGTTCTTTTCCAGACAGCGTTCGTGTTCTTTTTCGGCCTGCTCCGTGCCTCCGGCGATGTGGATACGCGGTCCCTGCCACCACGGGGGAGTGATGAAGGGCGGTATGTGCTCGTGCTCGTGTTGTTCGTTGGTTACGTCTTGTCCATCGCGTATTCGGTTTGTTATCGTCTCTCTCGGGCTAATTTTCTTTCCTCTACGCGCGGTGACTTCGGCCATGCCTACTCTGCTGATGGTGTCGATGTTGTGTTTCCAAATCTGTTGTTCGACTGGCAGGAGGTGCATTTCCACATCCAGTGCTGGGAACGAGGTTGCTCTGTATGCTCCGCACATTGTCCTGGCTGCTCTGGCTTGGAGCCTCTGCAGTCTGTTTAGTGTTCTTTTCGTGTAGCCCATCTCACCCCAACCGCTATTGGACCACAGCGAGCATGCGTACATCATCTGTGGTATTGCGACTCCCCTATAGATCGTCCTCATCTCTCTCGTCATCACGCCCCACGTGGAGCTGCCTATGCTGCTGAGTGCTGTGATGGTGTTCGTGACCTTGCGTTCTGTCTCGTCGATGTGTTGTTTCCACTTCAGGGCTGAGTCCATGATGAGACCGAGGTATATACAGGTTGCCTTGGGCTTAATTTCTCCCCATGGGCTGTGGAGTGTTGTGTCTCTGTCGATTCGGGTTTTCGCTCTTGTGAAGTGGGTAAGCTGGAACTTTTCGGGCGCGAAGACGGACGCGTGAGTGAGAGCCCACGTCTCGGCTTTCCAAAGCGCTTCTTGGAGCTTCTGACAGGTTTCCTCCGTGCTGTTTCCCACGGCGAGGATCGCTACGTCGTCGATGAAGCCGGTGGCTGTCGTGTCTCCGGTCTCATTGCAGCTATCCAAGAGATCCGCGTTGTAGAAGAGGTAGAGTATCGGCGAAAGGGGCGACCCTTGTGGGATGCCGGTGTCGAGCCTGTAGGTTTCGGATCGGAATCCATCCACGTGGATCTCCGTCTCTCGGCATCCGAGGAAACTGGCAATCCACCGTACCGTCGCTTCGTCGATCCGCCTCTTCCGCAGGTTGTGCAGGAGTCGGCGGTGCGAAACGTTATCGAAGGCGCCTGACACGTCCAGGAGAAGTAGGCTTGCTACCAACCCCTTTCCTCAAGCCCAGGCTGCATATATGATCTTGCCCACCGTGTTAAGGAGGGCTATCGGCCTGTATGCTTGGGGCACTGTGTAGTTGTCTTTGCCTGGCTTCCTGAGTACCACCCTGGTGGACTTTCTGAAGTGTTGTGAACAATATCCTAGTCGGAGGCTCTGGGTGAATATGCGGACCAGACGTGGCGTGATGCAAGGTCTCGCCACTTGAAGTGCCAGGTTCGTGATGCCGTCGGGGCCCGGTGACTTCAGCGGTGCTGCTTCCTGGATGGCGACCTCTACTTTGCTTTCCGACACTGGCGGCAGGCCAATCTGGTTGCTGTACGATGCGTTGTCGATGTCTTCGAGATTTGCCTCGGGTGGCGGGGGGAAGAAGGTCTCCTTGAAGAGTGCAGCTTTCTCTTCGGGCGTTGCGGCGACCTGAGACGTGTTGGGGTTCCTGATTTCCGGCGTAACGGTCGGCGGCTGGCTCTGTCTGTTCCGGGCCCATTTGGCGATCTTCCACAGCGATCTAGGTGACTCGGCCGCTGTTTCCACTGCTTCGCGATGTGCTTGTTGAAGAGCTTTCTTGATGATGCGGCCTTTCCTGTTGCGCGCTGTTCTGTATGCCTCCCAGCTCTCCTCTGTCTGTCGCTCGCTGTGATCGCGGCGGAGTCGTTTCGTCTCGGCCAGGATGGCTGCGCACTGCTCGTCCCAGCCTCTCCTGGATTTTGGCGAAAGGGTGCTGGTCGGGACCGCGGTTTTGATAGCGACTGAGAGGGCGTCTATGGTTTTCCCTACGTATCCGTCGAGCGCTGCCTTCGTTCTTGGTCTTCGTAGCTGCGGCAACGATCCACGGAGAGTCTCGATAAATGTTTCCTTATCATTAGCTTTCCACTTTCGTTTCTCCTCTCGCTGTAGCTCGGTCACTGCTAGGTTCAGGGACGTCGCTATGGGTAGATGATCGGAGTCATGGTTGATATTATTGTCTACTTCGCATCTGGTCATTCGGTCAACGAGACCTAGGGTAACGAGACAGAGGTCGATGGTTGTCCGGCGGTCTCCTTCTTCGTACGTAATGGTTCCCGCTCTCAGTTGACTCATGAGGTTCATGTCGTCCATTAGATCTAAGAGCTCGGTTGCTTCGCGGTCCGGCGCTCGGATATCGCTGCCTCCCTACAGCTCATGGTGTAGGTTGAAGTCACCGACGACGATTTGCTCAACGTGCTGGTGTGTTTCCAGTGTTGTTCGTAGCTGCTGTAGGACCGGCTGTCGATCTTCCTCCCTCGTTGACGGGTCGTACACATTGTGTAGCACCAGGCTTGTTTCAGTACAGTCGTCTGTTGCGGTAGTCGGAGTGTAGAGATCTCTGCTGTTCTCCCTAAATTGCCATCGAGAGTGGTCGAGCTTCTTGTTGACAAAGAAGCAGACCCTGGCCGGTCCTCTTCCCTCCCTAGAGGGGTAGGACAGATGGAATCGGTCCTTGGCCGGATGGTGGGTTGTTGCGCTGTAGGGGTTCCTCCATGGTTCCTGGATAGCGATGATGTCGTAGTTGTCGATGCTCAGATCACGGAGGAGCGTCGCCACGACTGTATCCTTCGACTTTCTTACGTTGTATTGTAATTTGTAAGTGTGTGTTGTGCGTTCATTCGCTGTCGTCGCCTACAATCTCCATCGCTGGACTGTCGTTTGTCATCTGTGTGTTGGGTTCGAGCGCCTCAAGTGCTCTTCACGATCGGATGATCGTGCGCTTCGAGCGCGTATTCTCCGCAGCTACGGTGACCATCTCCTCCGATTCCTCGGTAGGTGTCGGGTTAGGCCTCTTTTGGATCTTCTTCGTCGGGGACCTGCTCCGGCTTGGTCGGTTTCCCTGGGATTGGCCTGGTTCCAACGCCGGCCGTATGGTCCTCGGGTTCGGCCTGGTCCAGGTTGCCTTTGTGAGATATAGACTACAGAAACGAAGTACTTTTCTGACGTTGCATAAGTATTCGTCCTTTCGTGGAATCCACGTTCGATATTGGATAGCAATCGGACTTAAATATTTCCCTTCCGACTTCAATATTCCCGGCCGTGGGGTAAGATTCGCGCATAGCTCACGTGAGCGAGCCAATTAAATTCTTGCGCATGAAACCAAAATTAACCCCCTAGGTGACACTAGAGCCCCGCCTGCTCTCCAGACAAATGCTACTTATTGGGGTGCCGCCCTGAGCACAACTAAGTATCAGCCGTGTCAAACTTCCACGTCATCACACCCGGGAATACACCGAGCCCATCGAAATCCAAACTCAACCGTCAATACTGAAGTGGAACGGTTGGTCCCTTTTTTTCCGGTGAAACTCGTTAACAGCCTGATTATTCTAAGGAAGAAATTGATCTTCCTTAAACAACGTCGCCCTCGAGCCCGCAGGATAACCGCTACCCCACTGTTGTCAACCGTGACTATTACGTCGAATCATTCAATGCTATCGTCCTCTCAGACTTCTCAATTCGAACGATGCTGCAACTGCAGCGTGCTTCTGTCGATTTCTCGGCGACAAAGCAGAAAGCCGTTGACGACGCGAAGAGGGCGCAGGTATCCATTGCTAAGCTATGCGCCGCTGCTGGCGAACATCCACCGCCGTACGTGCTATCAGAGCTTATCGGCAAGGGAAGCTTTGGCCGTGTGTATAAGGCTACGGGCTCAGCGCCAGGTCAAGTCGTCGCCGTCAAAATTATCAGCATTGAGGAAGGAGACTCGCTAGAGCCAGGTGCGGCAGATACATTGAGCGATATTCTCAAAGAGGTATATACCTTGAAGCGACTGAGAAACAGCGGAGCGAAAAATATCAACGCAGTCATCGACACTCTGCTCGTCGGACACTCAGTATGGATGATCACGGAGTATTGCGCCGGTGGTAGTGTAGCGTCACTCATGCGACCGACTGGCGGGCTTCCTGAGAAATGGATCGTCCCGATTCTTCGCGAGGTCGCCGAGGCAATCTATTGGGTCCATCAGGAAGGCATCATTCACCGCGATATCAAATGTGCCAATGTCCTCGTCACCGAGCTCGGGGGAGTCCAGCTTTGCGACTTCGGCGTGGCGGGAATCATTGAGACGCGGTTCGATAAGAGAAGAACAGTGACAGGGACGTTGCAATGGATGGCTCCTGAATTATTCGACACCACTGTGTCGTACGGCATGGAGGTTGATATTTGGGCTTTCGGATCTTTGGCGTATGAGGTTGCCTCCGGATTACCACCAAACGCAACCACAAGGATCGATATTCCTCGCTTCGGCTCCTATTTAAAACAGAACTGTCCTCGTTTGGAGGGTGATCACTACTCATCCCAGCTCAAGGATCTCGTTGCTTACTGCATGGTCGAGGATCCAAAATTACGACCTCACATACAACAAATACAGACACACCCGTACATCTACAACACAAGTGAGAAATACCCGGCTGCTTCACTCTCTAGGCTTGTGAGCGCCTACAAGGCTTGGGAGGCACAGGGAGGCAGCAGACAATCCTTATTCTCGGCGGGTGGTGCTCAAGGACCTCCAAACGATCTGTCTTTCAACCCGAACGATGAATGGGTTTTCCATGACAATAGCGGCTTAGACCAGTCTGGACTCGACGATGCAGAAACCATATACGAAGTCGACGGCCCTGAGCTCAGTGTTCACCAGTTGCCTCTATTGCACCCTCATCGTCGTCGTCGCCTGCTACCGAATATGAAAGCGTTCAAAGCCCCATTGGAGAAGCTTTTCGATCCTCATACCATCTCTAACTACGCCGACCACGCTCGTGCTGTCTACACAAGAACAACCTTATCCGACCTACCCCTTCGGAACGACGACTCAGCGCACTTAACTGTTCGCGAATCATTAATCGACCTTGATGCATCGTGGATCGATTCCGCGCCGGCGCAGGTCAATGACCTTCATACAATCAAGGTCAGACCGCGTTCCGCTGACGCGACAGATGTAAATCGCCGAACTCAGGATTGGACTTTTCCCGCGGTTTTCCCAGCCTCTGCAAGGCTGGATATGTCGTCCTCCGATTCAAGTTTTTCAGACACAAGCACAATCAAGAAGGTTGATTGGAGCGAACCGGATAACTCTACGAAACGCCGGACGCAAGACTGGGTCTTTCCGGGCTTTGTACCCCCCGCCGAAATTCAAACCCTGTCGTGTGGCACGGATGGCACCTATATACCCACTGAATTTAGTCGAATGTCCGCCCTGAGTCTGATCGATCTTGACGCTAGCATTGCGCCGGCATCTATGGACCGCCCTTCTACTGCAGTTTCGGATGCTACCTCGAGTGGTTCAGAAAATGCTCATACACCCTTTGAATTTGAATCGCACGCAAATGGACCAGAGGGTGCCGCAACAGACCGAGAGCCGTCGATATATGTGTCTGATAGTGATGGTTCCCGTCATGAGCTATCCATAGACGTGCCCGACGGCATCGATGTATCTTGCCCACAAAGTGTACAATCGAATGATCCCAGCGCCATGCCGGATAACACTGGTCAGGCTTCTAGTGTACCATCTGTGAACCAGGAGAGGACGCGATCAATTGAGCCTCCAGAAATCCTTCCACAAGCACCATATCCAGTTTCGCAGAACGTGATGCAAGGAATTAGCTCACCGGATGAGGTCAAAGATGAGCCACGTCGAATGATTTCTTGTTTGGGGGAACATCTTCAGGCTGCGAATGATTTCATGGGAGCACTGCCTGTGGGCGTGTAACGCCTCGTCCCTCATGGACAATACATTATCCCTGCCGGGATCGAGCCTCATGGCATCGTACCAATCCGACCGACTGTATTTGGTACGCACGCCGAGCATGTGCTTCATGAGGTCTGGGTCGCTCGTGATCAGATCCCTCGGCCCGACACGTACAAGAGATCCTGCAATGTTGGACGTTTGTTGGCCTTGAGAAACGGCATGGGTCCCAAACTTACCATATTTATGGTAGGCCTCGTAGAATTCAAGATGCACCCTGCCACTATGTAGGGCGCGCACAAGCCACCATTTGGTAAATACTGCGCTTGGGGGGCCCCTGATGTGCTTCAGCCGTGCGTATTGACGTGCGATAGAGGCGATGCCATAGAGAACGATGATCGAGACTGCCGCGCTCGTGTACACCTCATAGTCCCGCATGATGAGGTCTGCTTGGCACCAGTGGGCTATATCGGTGGTTTCAGTGGGATCTGCAGACCATCTCCGTTGTTGATGGGTTTAAAGAAAAGGCAGAAGATGGATGGAGTCATGTTATGCCGTGTCAGAGCAAGCGAGAAGATGGGTGGAGTGCGGAGTAGAGGCACGGTTCTCTCTAGGCGCGAGCGGGCAAGAGAGGCAGCTATTGCTGAGCGTTAGTCGATTCTGGCTTTCTGATCTCCGGCCTTGGGGCCGATTGCCACTGGCCTACTTCACAATTTGGCGATTTACATACATACATAGTTTATTACGCCCCAGCTAAGCTATCAGGGCTCAGATGATTATCTACATGATCTCCACCTTCGTTCATATCCTTGCCTCCTAGAAGCCCATACGAGTACAGTCTATCCACATATGCATTACCTTCAAGACTCCTTGCCAATGCTGCGGTTGCTCGTGGTGTTAGTAACAGGCCATCTTGAGGTTGTCTCCCAAAGTGTTCGGCGTCCTATTGTCGGCGGCCGAAGCCAGTCCTGCTGTCGATGGCACGAGGGTGCGTGGGGGTTGTCGTCGGTCAGTGTGTTAATGTAGGTGGTGTGTAATCTCGCTGCTGGTTGATCTGTGCATCCAGTCTCTCCGTGCTCATGGCAAACTTGATCGTTTCTTTGACAACACCTACGTTTGGCGACCAATCATCAGGGTCGGACGCGTTCTTTCCCCCGAGAAAGTACGAAAGGTTCCCTCTATGCGACTCCGTCAGTTGAAGCATCTGAGTTCGTTGTGCCGTCCACTGTGTGCAACGGAAGAGAAAGTGCTCTACCGATTCTGCCGCTTGCCCGCAGGCGCATTGCGTCGAGGCAGTTGCTCCGATCTGGTGCAGGTACCAATTCAGTCTTGCCATGCCGGTGCGCAGTTGCGCCAGGATACGGGCTTCTTTCCAAGAGAGCTCATCGTATAGCTCGCGCGTATGCCTTCCTGGTAAAGCCACATCGATCTTCTTCGAATATGCTCCTACGTTATCGGGCAAAGCTCCGTACTTCTGTCGCACGCTCTGTAAAGCGATCCTAAGTGCCGTTGAGTAGGCTCTGGCCGGTCGTTTCTGCGGTGTCTTGCTCGGTCTCGTGCTGTCCTTTGCTGCAGCTTTGGCCGCTTGCGCCAGATCTGACTCTACAGCTGATGGGAGCCAGAAGAGCGTGAACCTATTGCCTCGTCTCTGCAGAGCTTGCATACTGGAGTATAGTTGTCGGACCTCTCGTTGGCCTGACTGCTGCCGCGGGTTGCGCATCACTAACACTGCCGCCTTGTTGCGGGTGAACACGTGGACAGCCCGGTACTCGAGTCTCTGGGGTAGAGACTTGACCGCTTCTGCCAGCGCCGCTAGATCTGCTACATACGGGTTCTGCTCTGTTCTCAGGCCGAGTGTGTGCGAGGCCGGTATCACGCCGCCACCCCCTCTGAGTGATACAGGCAGCGTTGTGACCGTTCCATAGCCCACAACCCCGTTTCTTGCCGAGCTCCCTGTCGCTATCCTCACTGCCCACCCGGACTGGATTGCTTCGGTAGCCTTGACCGCGTCGTCGTCGACTACTGTATCAATACGAGCTTCCCATGGAGCGATTGAATACCCTTCAATAGTCTCCAGCTTGTCGAGGGGTTGGTCGCGGTAGGCCTCCGCCATCAGCTGGAAGGGTGATGGAAACCGTCTAAAGGCCACCGCCCGTAGACGTCGAAGCGGATGGGTCTTGGGAAGGCTTCACATCCGTACCCAGAATGTCGTTGATTTTCTGTCGTATCTCTCTTGCGCCGATTATATGCTTGCCTCCGCTCCAGCGACCGCCGTGGACACTGTGTTAAAGGTTCCCACGATCGCTTGGGCGCCAATCCTCTGCACTCGGTTGATCACCCTTATTTGAGCTGCTCGACATCTATATCTCCAGACATTCGACGCGTAATCCATTGTCGGTGCCACGGCCGCGACGAAAAGCTGTCTGGCCGTCGCCGGAGACAGACCTTTGAGCCGCCTGAACCCCAGCACGGCCTCCAACCCCTTTGTCGTCGCGTCTGCGATGTGCTTTTCGAAACGAAGTTTTGTGTCCATCGTCACCCCTAGCACCTTGACGTAGTTCTTTGGTCGGATAGTGTCCCCTTTGATGACGAAGCTGGTCGAGTCTGCCGGCAGCCTCCAGTCGCGCGTGAAGTGGATGATGGCCGTCTTGTCCGTCTCGAACGTCGCCCCGCTTCGTCGTTCCCACTCAAGTGCTCTGTCAATGATGTTCTGGATGCCTTCCCGGTTTGCTTCTCGCGATCGGCTGGTAACCCATGCCGTGTAGTCGTCGACGAAGGCCAGCGCGCCCCCGTTCTCGTCGATTTGGTGTTGTACGAGGTCGGCATTGAAGAAGAGGAACAGCACGGGCGACAGTGGCGAGCCCTGAGGCAACCCTGCTTGTGGTAACGAACGAGCCTCGGACTCGTGACCGTTGACCAATACGCTTGCTGTACGATGGGAACAGAAAGCGTCGACCCATCTCACAAGCTTATCAGGCATACCCCGTGCCCTGAGTCGTTGAAGTAGTCTCCCCTTGTACACCCCATTGTAAGCTCCTTTGACATCAAAGCTGACCAGACTGACTACATTTCTCTTTCTCCACGCTCTGTAGATGTACTCCTGCAGCAGTCCCAGCGCCTGCTCTGCCGACCTCTGCTAGCGAGCGCCAAAGTGGCTCATGGGCAGGAGGCCGAACGTCTCGACAGCGTGCGAGATACGTTCTGCCAGGACCGACTCTAGCACTTTTCCGAGCGTCGACAGAAGCGAGATCGATCGCCAGGCCGTCGCTATGCCGTAATCGCTTTTGTTTGGCTTCTTCAGCGGGATGATCTTGGCGTGTCGCCATTGCCTCGGCAACAAGCCTTCGTTCGGCCGCTATAGTCAGTCAGCACACCTGGATAGCAGGGTTTGGCTTACAGTCGACATGCCCCGAGTCTTGGTCCCCAGCGCCCCCACCTCGCCAATGCAGAAACATCGGCCAGCTGTCTCTAATTTCCCACTTTACTCACAAATTACTCTCAGGTTTTGGTGTTCATTCACTTTCGTCGACAATCTCCATAGCCATGTTGTCGCCCGTTCTCTGGTTGTCAGGGTCTAGCGCTTCTACCGCTCCTCACGAGCAGATGATGATGCACTTCAGGCATGTGCTCTCTGTAGCTCTCGTAATCATTTCCTCCGATTCTTGGGTCTCGTTTGGACTCCCTTTATTGGAGATCTGCTACAGCTTGATCAGCTCTCCTGGGATTGATCTGCTTCAGGTAGCGGCCACGTGGTCGTTAATGTTTGTCGACCTTGTATCTATACATTTAGGTCGTCAGGCGTTTAGAGGCAATCCCAATGTCAGTATTCTCAAATTGCGCATCGATCTTGATGATTTCGTAGTCACGGGCTGAAAATTGAAGCTTCCGAGAGGCAAAGAATAGGTCCGAACAGTTCCTCATGACTCGCCATTACCATTCAATGACCCTACACTCCTGACACTCTCTCCTATGTCCTCCTGCGAAACCCATCAAGGATTAATCTCTTCATCTGCCCATTCGCCAGAGGAAGTTCCTTCAGTCCGGCGCGCCCCTCCCTGACCTCCTCCTCAGATGCCCACGCATAATCGCAGTGCTCGCCCGGATCTGTTCTTATCCGGCCTTCTACATCCTCGCCCTCCACCGCTCCTCGCACCTTCACCTCGAATGCAAACCGACAAAACACCTTCGTTCCAGTGCGATTTGTAAAGACGCTACCAGGTTCCTCATTCGCCCCCTCACTTACAACCCTTACAAATTCGACAGCTTGAAGACCTGTCTCTTCCCAGAGCTCTCGCGCACAGGCAACCAGTAGGCTTGTGTCGTCTGGGTCCACCCCACCCCCAGGCGTCTCCCATAGAAGTGGCATGCTATCATGCGCTGTGCGCTGGACGAGGAGAATCTTACTACAAGTAGTCGAAGGCGAAAAGACGAGGGCGCTCGTAGCGAGACCGTCCCATGATTTAGCATTCTTCATCAGCCACGTAGCGGCTGGGATGTTATAATGTTCTAGCGACGGGGGATAGGTAAGATTCAAGTCTGTAAACGTGGGTGTTTGAGGATGCTCTAGACTAGATGCCATGCTGATTGCCCTTGGACTCCCAGGCGGGGGAAGGCACTTGATGCTTATCGGATGATCGTTGCTGAACAAAGTCAAGAGAAGAAGTTAGATAGTATTACTTTGTGGTGTGAAAGTGGAGGAAAACGGCTTTGAGGTGAACGAGACCATAGAACATTAAATAAAGCAAGTAAATCCGTCATTTCCCTGCACGGGGGTCGGATAAGGCGGTTTCATCTCGCCCTAACCTTTCCCAATTAAAGCATCCTCCGACGTGACCCACAACTACATCTACATCTACATCTACAAATGCACATCCATGTTCACAGTCATAACCATATTATAGGACGCTTTCACACATTGTCAACCTTCGATAGAGTTATCAAGTGGAATGGTCCCCCTGTCTTGTAGGGTATGTTCTTTCAGCATTACTCATGACGATGAGCACATTTGCCAAGGCTATTTTAGTTCTATTTCAGAAGGTCTTACAAGTTTCTCACTGACGATCAGGACATCCATGACGATTTATGCAGCTTGGTCTATCTAGAAGCCAGTCAGTGCCAGGGCTCTGAATGCCAATTGCCTACGATCTTGGGTTGTCCTGTTGGCGAGCAGATCTACATGATGACGCAATTACAGGACAATTGGCAGGTGACAAGGCTCGCTCATGATACACGAGGTAAGCACCGCCCTAAAAACGATGGTACCGACCAACGAATGTTTGAGTAAGCTAAGTGGCCCATTGAGTACAAAGGCCCCAGGGAAATTTCCAGTCACTAGATACTAGAGATCGAGCAGCTCTTTGGCTTTCGGAAGCGATGCTGATTTGAACCGGGTAAGGTAGTCCACCACAACCTGTCGCTTATCCAGAGGCAAATCTTTTGGCATGTTGACCAGGTCGTCTGGGTGATTGTCGATGAGCCAAGAGATATCTTTCACATCCTGCTCGTGCTTCTTCCTCTTGGGTGAGGCTAAGCCGTAAACTTTGGAAATGAAAATTGGCCCAATTCGGATCACGGGAATTGCAAGTTCCTTTGTACCGTGGGTAGTGGAAACAAATTGTGTGATGCTGCCTACTTCCTTCACCGAGTTTTTCTGGCCTGGGCACGGAGTCAGAGCCCTTGAGTCGGCAAAACCTAGAAATGTAAGACTTACCGGCTATGATCATATCCACATCGAAATATTTGCCCTGGCTTTGGTAATAGACCTGCAGGTGCGCATCGTCCGGCCACCAATCATCCGCAGGAATCACAAATCTTCCATCTGCCTCAAGGAGCTTCTTGAGCTCAGGCATTGTGATTTGAACTACGATGTCAATATCGGGCGTATTACGATCAGGCTCTCCATAAAGAATGAGTGCCCAGCCACCGGAGATGACCCAAGGGATGTCGTTCTTGCCAAAGAGGTCCTTGAGGGCAGCAGTTGTATCCTTGAGACCGGCAGTGTCAACGTCCGTGAGCGACTTCTGGGAAAGCCAATCCAACTCTTCCCTTGTGAAATGCCCATCTGCGATGGCTCGAGTGATCAAAGAGTGCTTTCTCAGAGAAGGGATTACCGTTTTTTCGCTGTAATAGGTATCGGTGTATCGCTTGAGGGCTGGCTCAGAGCTGCGCTCAACCTCGAGGGTGAGTTCACGACTGCTGTGTTTCTCGAAGGGAAACGCGAACGTCGAAGTGGCAAATAGCCATATCAAAGTGGTAGTAAGCCACCGCATAGTGAACTTGAACGAGTGACTTGAAAGAATGACTTAAAGCTAAGAGTAGCTTCTTGCTGAGAAGAAATGACTGAGCGATGAGGTCCAGATTAAGAGACCAGATGAGAAGGGCCTAATGAAGACTTAAGTATTCATACTTGGTAAAAACACTTCGGTTTACGTGGCAGAACAACGTCACTATGGCCGAGCTTCAAATCCAATAAGATTTAGATAGTATCATACGAAGTTATATGTGGATATATCTTGTCCGGCCACTTCCTCACAACACTTCAGATATTAATCGAAGCTACGAGTGGGTATTCCTCATCATCACCCTTCTTCTCGGCACCCATGCGGCAGATACCGATCTTCTCGAGAGGAACGCTCTCCATCCACATGTAAGCCCAGTACTTCTTGATCATTTCGGTAGCGTCAATACCCCCAGTCGGTGTCTTTCTGGCGTTGATGATGGTGGCGTGGAGTGATAGCCCGAAACCCGTCTTGTCCACGACATCGGCGTCCTCGAAGACGTGCCTGATCTTGTGGCAAAGACCATCGAAGTCGTAATCAAGGCACGTGGGGTGCGCAAAGAGGATGTCTACATGGCTTTGATCGGCGCCCGGAAAGGTACCCAGGCCATGCAGCGAAATTTTCAGCGGCTTCGTAGGAAGCAGAGGTTTGATGCTCTGAAGCACCTCAGTTGCCCTGGCAAGATCTTTGGCTTCGGGGAGATTCATGACTCCGAGGGTAAGGTGCAAAGTGCCGAGGGGGCGCACTGCGGAGGCGGTGATGCCGAAGTTGTCCGGACTAGTGATGTATGACTTAAAGGCCCTCAAACTCGCCGACAGCTGAGGCCGCGAGAATGGCGTGACGAGGGGGATACAAAGAAAGTGGGTGGGTTTCATGATGCACTCACTTGTATTGTGTAAGATGATAGAGGTGAAGATGTTCTGTAACACGGCTCATGTTCCCGAGATTAATCGAATCTAGTTATATACTTTTTCCAAGAGAGTTTACAACTTCATGTCTTCTTTGTGATATCACCTTTGAATTGGGATTGGAAAGTCTCCCTCGATGTATTTTACGTTGTTTGGAGAATTTCCTATGACGCAAACCGTTTGATGGGTTGGGGCTCAACCGGTGTCTCGGCGACGCCGGGACTGATATTGTGCCTTACATACGCCCTCGTCTTCTTCTCTCATTAACTACGCGCATTTCTTCCTAAATTTAGCTGCTCAAATGATTCATGTTACCAAAATTTTCAAAAACCTAAAAAGAAAAAAGGGGAAACAAGAACGAAATTTGACATGTCAACTTTAGATGCACAGGGGCTGACCAACTGAAGATATAGCTCAACCTTAAACCTTATGCAACTCAGTACTAATCTGGATTAGATGGAAACCTAAACTTGAAATAGCTTTCTTCGCTGTAATATCAGCAGGCTTGGGGGACTTCATATTATTTCCGGTAAGCGATGACGGCAATCTAACGAAGAGGGGCCGGCCGCTCCGGAGCGCAAAATCCATACGCTGGATGAAAAGGCTTTTTCTCTATAGGTACAGTGTAGCATTCCGTCGGCATAGACTGAGGATTTACAAGCCGGATTAAGCAACCCGTCGGTACTGTGGCTTAATGCAAAGCCTTGCCGTCTGGGTAGTAAAATCGGTCTATCCGTCAAGTATGTAAAATGCATAGATCCTAGCAATCTTTGATGATGATGATGATGTGTAAGCATAGACGTGACAAGCAAGATGCGTCGGCATTCGGTTATACATATTGACGAACATATGTGTGAAGCAGATCTGGAGGCAAAGAAGGAGGCCAAGCCGCCAGCTGGAGGCACATCAACCTTACCTGAATTGTCTGTTCATCGAAGGGGTGAAGTAATACCCAGATTTCAAACCTTACCTTCGATCTTTAAGCCGCTCAAGTGTACGCGTGGATTTTAAGTTCTCGGTCTCGGGATACAAATCGGTTCCCGAAGAAAGAGGAATGTTTACCCATGCCTCAGACCAACCTGAATTCAACTAACGGTGAAGACTGGTCTCGTTGAATATGAATGTGAGCGCTGGTGCCGCGCCTTCCAAGGATCGATTTGCCTCATTCGTACTTGAGGTGTGGCAAGTTATTTGTGAGAGCTGTCCACCCTCTTGAGCTAATCTCGCCATAGTATCTTGCCAACCTATCCTCAAGGCCGTTAGTGGCGGCTCTGGCTTGCCATTCTTTTTGGGATGGATAAATCCAATGTCTTCCGCTAGCTGATCTGGAAACATCAAGCCCGCCCCCCCTCCCTGTCCTTTGATTTAGCGAAATTCTGTCACATCTCACCGGCTAACACACCTAGCTCTTGTAATGAATGCAATACTTGCTAGGGTTTGAGAAACTCAACAAAGTGGATTCCTCAGTTCTGGGCACGTCTAGTTGTACTCTATTTTTTTTCGCGGAACACGACAAGAATGTCACTGGGTGAGCATCTTGGCAGTAACACCCTTGAGTCGCAGTCAACATGATGCTATGACCGTTTGAAGGCAAGTGATACTGATCGGGTTGACCAGCGATCTGTCTCCGTAATTCTTCAGGCCGGCTGAGTATATTATGGTATAGACCTTTCATCTGAGGATTTAGCATCGCTCTCCCTCGCTTCCCACACTCCTTTCACCCGTTTGACCACAACAACAAGAATGTTATCTCGATCGTCAGCTTCACTCTTTTTCCTCGGCCTACTTACACTCACTACCGGCCGAACTTTGTCTCCAAGAGGCGAAGGTGATGTCGCCGTGGCCCCCTGGTTGAAAGATCACGACCAGATCGTGCCGTTTCAGCAGCAGGCCGCAGACGGCATCGATGGCGAGCTAGAGCTACGGTTCAAACCATGGCTTAATGACAAAAGCGGCTGTTTTCCGTACGCCGCGGTTGACAAAGACGGTTTCCATGGGTAGGCACACGTCAATCATGATTACGCCGGACTCTAGCTGACTTCAACTGCCCCTTAGTGCTGGACTGAGGCCCACTGGCAAGAGCGGCGGTCAATGTCGTGATAGCTCCAGGGCTCAGGTTTACTCCAGAGTCGGTAAATCGAATGATCGCACTGGCGTTCTGTTCTCGTGGTACCTACCCAAGATTCAGAACGATGAGCGCCATAAGCATTACTACATGAGCATCGTAGTTTGGGTTCACACTGATAAGTGTAACGCAAAAGTTGATGACTATCTCATGGTCGGCGTTTCTTATTCCACTGGCACAACAACCTGGGACAAAGCCTCAAGTTCTAAAACCATGCTCACTGCCGGTGACAGCGGCATCCAGAATGCTATGAACACCCACCCCATTATTGGCTATGATGGCAAAATGAACGTCTTTCCCTCAGGCGAGAGCGCCCAGCGGGCGCTTAGCCCCCCTATGGTCAGCTGGAACAAGCTATCCAAGCCAGCCCTCGACCAGTTCAATGGCATCCGATACGAGCATGCTCGCTGCCCTTTTAACGAAAACAACTTTCAAGCCACCTTGGACGCTGCTTTCAATGGCGACTTCTACCACAACCTTCCGGCTGAGCCTACCAATGGCTGCAAGACCGAAACCAAAGCCCCCACGCCCACGCCCGAAGACGACGATGACTTGTTCGACATTGACTTCAACGTACCTGACGGCGTTGTGCCCGACGATGGCAACTAGCCTTGTACGTGCGTTTCAAAGACGATGGCCTAGACACTTTGATTCAGCGGCAGTCTAATGCCCTTCTGCTGGAAGACGGGGCGCTCGTCGCTCGTGAGACTAGATGTTATTGAGGCGTGCGTCCTGGTTCTTCTTGAATGCCAGGAGCTTGGGTCTGCGTACACCACAGGTTTGGGTCGGGAGACTGTCCTGTGTTATAGTCGGCCGCCATAAGAATGGCACGTTTGAAGAACTCAAAACCACCAACACTGAGGTTCATTTCGCCGACCTTAGGATAAAAGCAGGTCGATGTCCTCTTTGTCGTCTGGGCTAAGAGCTCATTGATCTTTATACATAGTTCATAAAGCAGGCAGTTTCCCGGATCCTTTTTCAAAAATGTGGCACGAAGAAGCATAGAATTCGAGAGAATAGGGGCATCGTCATTCGCATGACGCATGCGTGCTAGACAAGGCGGCACAACTAAAAAAGCCTTGGTCCTTCGTGGTAGCAAAGAGGTTTAATAATATTTTCAGACTGTCAACGTCAAAGAGACTAACATTTTTCCGCAATCTGTGAATGGCAACTGCTGAGATATGTAAACATCTTAGGCATACAAGTCCGCCAAATACAAGATAACTGTCAGGCTGCCCCGGCACATTCGTTACACCAATTGTCTCACCTCGAGCGACCTGACTTATGCTTAACTAGAGGTACGAGTAATATCCGCAAGGATATCCTCATACAAGGAGATCGTACACTGTTTATATAGATATGGGGTTTCTTCCCACAGCCATTCATTCGTCATACTCATCAATACACACAACATGACCCCTGCCTGTCTAAATGATGCTCGATCAATGTGATCATGGAAGCCGCCGTCTCGCAATTACGCTTGCCCAGGACGGCAAAGCTTGGCAGCGGGATACCATCGTGAGTATCGTTGGGATACCGAATGATTATAGAGATAGGTAGCAGCTATGCTCAGGTTGAGCTGAGAGAAATTTACGACGCATCATGTCGAATACAAATGGCCAGCACCTATCTCAGACGTTTGACCTGAACACGAACCACGCATCAATCAAAAGTGAGCGCGCAACAAAAAAGCAAAAACCGCCCAATACCACAGTACCAAGGTAAAATGTAGCTGCCACCGTTGGTCCGACCTGTTCCAACAGAACACCCCCAGCGGGCAAAGAACCCAGGGCACCAAAAGCAACGACAAATGTGCAAGTTCCTTGAAAAGCCCATGTAAGCATAACCGAACGACATGTAGAAAGCCAAGCATGTCAAGAAAAACAGAGAACCTACCATAATACCTGCCATATTCCTTGGGGTCGCATGTCTTCGCGACGCAAACTAAGATACAGTCAGCTCAGAAGCTTTTTGGTTCAGTCATTAAACGCTAAATTGGTGTGATAGAGAGGAAAGACCCCGATCCGAATCCCCATATCCCCGCAAAAACATACAGGACACCGACAGACTTGGTGCCGAAAGGCACAAACAGAACCGCCGTGAAGACAGAAGTAAGCGTGACCATGAACAGCATAACGTCAAAATGGCCGACTTGGTCTCCAGCGAATCCGGGGAGAAGACAACCTAAGCATGAGCATCCGATTAGGGTAGCAACAAGGGTAAATCCCGAGCTGGACGGAAAGCCGGCCTCAATGGCGAATGTGGGAAGGAGTACGTCAATGCCGATGATTGAGATTTCCAACAAGAAAAGCCCAATTGTCGTAAACAGAAATGGAGTCGATCGGAAAGCAACAAAACTAAGAGCCGCAGACTTCTTTTCGGCGGTGTTTGCCGCCGGTGTAGCCAGGCGTGGAAAAGGCAAAAGGCACAGCGACCCAAGGAACATGAAACCAAAGATAATGAATCCCAGCGTTCGGGTGCTCCAACTCCAGCCTATATCTGGTAGAGTTCGACGAAGAACCAGGGGGAATATGACACCGCCAATGGACGAACCAGTCAAGGCTACACCCATCGCCAAGCCACGCCGACGAAAAAATAATTTGCCAATCGAAGATATTGCCAACGATGAGGATACAGCGGAGCCAACTCCCCCAAGGACACCTAGACAGAGCAGGAATTCCCAGTATTCTTTGCACTCAGCCAGGAAGAAAAACTTGGACACCGTGAGCACTGTTGCGACTGGAGCCAGGCATTTGGGTCCGTAAATGTCCAGTAGAGGCCCGACCTGGAGACCAAAAAGCAAAGCGAGAGCGGTGTCGAGCCCGGTGATCCAGCCAATGTCTCTTGCAGAATAGTTTCGCAGTTGGTTGAGGTGCAGGTAAGACTGCAGAGTTCCAATCGACTGGGAGAATCCTGGTGGAGTCAATCAGGTGTACATCGTTATGGGTTATAATAGTTGGCGGAAGATCAACTTACCAAAGGATGAGGCGAGGAAAAGCGACGAACCGATAACACACACCCAGCGGGGAAGTTCTAGTTCTTTCGATGTCTTGTCAATGGCTCCATGATGCTGGTTTTCGCAACGCGGCTCGACTGTCATAATTACAGTCGCAGGGGTGCGATAGGAAGCATCAGGTGTTTCCATGACATGAAGATTTCAATGAAGGCTTTTCAGATTAACCGCCATTAGGGGTAGACAAAGTTCAAAAGCGCTAAGGTTCAGCGAAATTGGTGTTTAAGTAGATGCCAGTTTTTTCTTCATTCGGTTCTTACCCTCATCTATTATGGGTTTCGCTATTTTTTTCTATATTTTTTCCTTGTGACGGCGCTGCCCGATTCGGAAAGGCCCCCGTCCTGTCAGGCGCGCCCGACAGCTGTGTTCTTGCTTCAAAACGGGGATGTATGACACATTAGACACAAAAGTCCCGCGATCAATGCCCACCTAAGCTTACGAATCTCTGCAAACCTGCTAGAAAATACCTTTAGCTAGGATTTATCGGTTAAGTCATGGATCCTGAGTACGACTAGTATCAAACCCAATTTTTGTTGTTTCATTCAAAACGGAGTAAGAAGTTGAGGGTTGAATTTTCCTCAGGCAACAATCTGAACTTCATTGAACGTGGAGCTTTTCATGTTCATGATGATCCGGAGAAAGAGGCGCTATTTTTTTCCTTTTCATACATTCCTCTTTGACCCTTCCCCCAGGCGGCAGTGACCGTGCCGGAACTATCCTCGTCCTCACGTCAATCCCAAACGCGAGAAGTCCTCCTTTCGCAGGACCCCACACGACGGTCACGGCTCCTGGTAGTGTCTTGACCACCCTTACTTTACCTCCCTCAAACACTGACGGCACTGGCACTCAAATCGTCTGTATACCGCCGCAGACGAGTGGGCCGGTGACTACTACGTCAACTGGCATTCGGACTGGTCAGACTGGCCTGTTGACCCTTACACCGGGTAAGCCTGGCGGCCCTCCCACCGTCGTCACCTAACATACAGACAGCTACAAACACCTAACGTATACGATCCTCAGGATTTCGACCAGTTCTGGTCGAAGCGCGGGTTTCTATTGGTTGCATGTTCAGGCTGCACGGACCTTTTTCGACTGGAAAAAGAAACAACACCAAAAAACTGGTCGTTGCATAGAAAAACTAGTCAACGCCCCTCACAAATTCAAATCGAGTGACTTCCATCCTCCAAAATCGGCACATTGTACTTCGACCACTTTTTTGCCGTGGTTCGTGACTTCGATACCGTGTCCTTCAAAAAAGTTTGGCACATTTTCTGTCACTCTCGCTCAGCGTCATTCTCATCAACACATTCTCATTAAGTACATTCAGTCATTTCATGTCCAAATGTCATGCACTCTTTTGGTTTTGCCCAAAGACTCATTACTGAGCAGTTCTGTCTCTTCAGATTTTTCGTTTCTATCGAGTATGAACATATGTCGCAATACTCTCTTGATGATTCTTGATCAGCATGTCTCATAAGTACCTGACGCCTACCCTTCAAATACAAAACCTGGTTGCCCATGCAAAAACTGGTCTCTCATACAAAAACTGGTCAGTCGCCACACCTTCAATGAATTTCCCAAAGACTCAATTCCTGCATAATTACTTAACGTTCCTCCAACCCCTCATCCAAAGTCCTCTTCATTCATTCCACTCTCTCTTCTATCATCTCTTGAATAATCCGACTTTAATAACTTTCTATAACACTTCTATGGTATTTTATATCCCCTCAATAACTATTACTCTTTCATTATGCCTATCCTGGAGGTCTCGCCTTTTACACCTTCTCTCCTCTACTTCTACCAGCTACCTTCCGTATTATGGATGAAGAAGCAGATGATCAATTCCCTCTACAAAGACCGCGTCGTTGGACGTCCCTGCAATTACAACAATCGCTTCATCCACACCTCCGGCGTCAGCGTTACTTAGTAAACACCGTCAATTCTCCTGGTACTGCGCAATCTTCCCACCAGCCCATGTTAGGCCTTAATCAAGGCAACACCTTGATATACCACCAGGTCATCTCTACCAGGGACGTTCAGCTCAATCATGCCTGGCGATCCGACTGGCAGCTGCAGAAGATCGCTGAGTCTGACGAGGCGTATTTGGCAAAGAAATCGGATCTCACCATTGCCACCAAGGAGGTAGAGAGAACTGAAGTTAGAGAGAACCGCAAGAAGCATGTTTCTGAGATCGCTTCAATGCAACGATTCCTTGCCAAGGCAAATCGCCGATCTTCTCTTCTGCCTTCAACCAGGAAGCGGAATCTTTCGCCCAATCACTCTATACCTATCGACCTTACCTCATCTCATCCCGCTATATCTATGTCTGCCTTGTCATCTGACCCCGAACCCCCTCGTGCTCTAAGGCGCAGACGCCAACAACCGTACGCCCAGATATCCCCGCGTTCAGCGCCTCCCCCCTCCCCCGAACGTACAGAACATCGCTTCCACAGACGGTCTAATGGGCTTGCTTCTACCCATCTTCGTCCGGTTTCACCACGGGTCCAAGATTCTTTACCGTCTACTGCCAATATACCGCACTACCTAGATGCAGTCAATTGCATGAAAATTCGTAATTCTCGTCATGATTCCATTCGGATGAGCTCGTCGGAGCAGCCGTCGTTCAATGCTCAGTCCCCTTCCCCCCTTACCGCGGCCCAGCCCCGACAAGACGACCACCCCGGGCCCTCCTCTATCTTTTCGCCGCCCCCAGGACTGCCCGTCTTTGTTTATCCATGTCTTCTGTCTCTTTCTCGACTCTATCCCAGCTTCAACGTATTGCTAAGTCACACTCAGAGTCATTAGAATCGGATGACATTATCCCTGCCACTGATTACAACGACCCGACCCCGAGATTCACAACACCGCTACCCGGCAGCTCCCAACTTAGGACATCTATCTCAGAGACTGCACTTTCTCGCTCGTACTTGGGGAAATTCTTCTCAAGTCCACTATGTTTCATTCATGTGTTTGGAAGTCCGAAGTTGGGCAACAAATGGGTACGACTCTGTTGTGATCGCAAAGAGCTGTTATGCTTCATCCTTTGGAACAGTAACAACCCGTTCGGTGTGTCATTAACCGCGGTCCATGGTCTCAACGAAACGGAAATCGAGGCTTTGAACCAGCTCCTAGACACAGACTATGTCGCATCTCTGTGCGCATCAGCGAGTGCCTTCTTTGACTCAAAAGAAGGCTTCTCACACGATACAGAGTTTGCTTGGGAGCTTCCCAACCAGCCTTTAGATAAATTATCTGAGAAAGAGATGCTGGCGCTCATGCGGCAAATTCTGCCAGTCAACAGGAACGCCTACAATCCTGATCAATATCCAACATGGCGGCGCCCGCAAGGTTGGTCGTTAATGACGAGCAACCTCAACTCATTAGAAAGCTAATTGCTTGTACCCAGCTCGCCGCCGCCGTGTCGGCTGCACAGTATGTCGCCGACGAGATGAACGTTGCTCGCCGTTCCCAGTTGAACCAACCCCCATTGAGACCGTCCACGATCCCCAGCCCGATGCTTGATTATATCTGCATAGACCACTTCGCCAAGTTTCTAGTACGAGCTAGCCCGCTCTTGATGTACAGTGATAAAGCCAGTTTTAGTGCCTGTTTAATATAGCTGCTGCTTTTATTAATGCGTCCATCCTGTAACTTCCCGAATTGACCAGATCCGCCGTAGGGAAGATTTTAATGACCTTCATAGTTATGTTGCGACTGTCGAAAACTGTCTGATTCGTCCGTTCTAATAGTTAGTGGGGCCCCTACCGCTGCGGTTGAACCAGTTTTGCCGTCCTCCTCCGCAGGGGCATTTGGAGTCTGTACGCACCAGCGCCCTGGATAGGGTTGAAGCGATATGGCCATGAATATTCAAATCGAGAAAGGCATCACAAACAATACATTGCGTAGGCAACGCTGACCGCCACGCTGCTGCCTGGAAAGTAGTCTCATAATCAAGGTGGTGTTCGGACTTGATTGGGCGAGAGGACTGCGCCTCCAAAGTCCCATGTAGCTCTTTAACTTCATTCGGTAAAGCCGTACTTCACAGTGCTAAAAATCATTACACGTGCATGCAATCGTTACGGAAAGCTTGTGTTTGTGTAAGTCTCGATAACAGTGACCTCGTTCCCGTAACCCGATTCCTTACCCACACGCTCACCCCGCTCACCCACGCTCACCCCAGCTCACCACGTTTGAAGCGCCGAGGGATCCGGGGACACCTGGGCGACATATTGGCACCTGTTCTGCCTCTACTCCGTGTGTTCACCTACATACATGAACTCTGTAGGGACCTTGATGAAGATGAAACCTAGTAGGTGAACAATAACCGTCTGGTGGGAATGCGCAGCGTAGACGAACCCTAACCATTTACCATTACTCCCCACTATACCACTACCCTTCCATTCTTGTCCTCTCACGAGTCGAAATCTGTCTTTTCATCACTATTCCCGGCATTCACAGACGGGCAAGCTGCCAAAGGTTCAAATGGTCCTTTTGAACCCTCCAGCAACACATCTCACATCTGGCTGGCCACATTAAGAGCTGTCTTCTGCTCTATGGCGTTCGCATGTCCCGATATTTGACACACCACAGAGTCAAGTTCTTCCGCAAATCTCTCACTTCGTTGATTCTTTGATAAAGTCAAATTCCCCAACATCCCCCGCTTTCTCTTCTTGTTTTGACGGCTTGAATGGAGCAAGGCGAGAGGTGGGCGGTGGCTGAAGTCAGCCCGTTCGAAGTCCACCACCACGATACCTCCATCCGCTGTATTGCGATTGCGTGAAACGTTGCGTAGCTTTGCGTCGCCATGAAGAACACCTGTCCTATGTAAGTTCTTGTACACCTGGGTAAGTGCGCCAACGTCTGCTTCGGTTGCTGGAGTGTTGGAGTCAAATAAAGGCGTTCCTGCCCAACTGAGAAGCAAGCCATGCATGCACACGCCACTGTCGTAGTACAACGGCAGGGTTTAATCTGTCCGTCCCAGGCAGACGGGAACAAGTCTTCCCTGAATCGAGCGAAGTCGATCGTATACCTCATTGTTGTGGCGAAGGCGGGCCACGTCGAGTGTCTCAACGCCCTTAGCAACAAGAATGTAGCCATGAGAGGACATCCTGACCTTAAAGAGTGAGCCGGTTGAGCCAGACAGGTGCAGTGGTACGACGTCAGCATCGCAACCACGGTCTTCGGCTAGCTGAGTACGGATGAGTCGGAGGATATCAAGTAGGTTTAAGTGCTGGGGTCCGTGATCCTGGAAATTCGGGCAGCGTTCATCCAGGGGCCAGCCGTTCACTAATCCGAGCAGACATTGTGGCGTACAAAATCGACGATCCAATATGTTTATCTGCTTCCCTTGGCTATAATGGCGGGTTGGCTGTGCCTCTTTACCGGCCGAGTCTGCGCTCGACTTCGTGAGAGCCTTTTCGCCCCCCGGGAATCGACCGTGTCGGTGTGGGTGAAGGAAGAGTCCCTTCTTCATCGTCACCGTTATCCCTCTGCTTTGCGTCGCTGTCGAGTCGCCTGCACCGAGCCCATGTCTGAATTGGCGAGCGCTTGAATCCTCGCCAGCGTTGGGGCTTGTACGGAGAAGAGCGCGCTTCCTTGCCCTTGCGCACTGCTTCGGGCGTGTTCCTCAGCACGTCGTCGTACTCTACAGCCCAGGTGTCGAGACTCACAGCAATATCGTGCCATGACAGCGGAGGTGGTTCAGCACGCAGAGCCTGAAGGATAAAGGCAAAGACCTGCGCAACAGCTATGCCATGGAACTTGTTCTCGTCGTCGTCCTCAAGAACGTCCGAGTAGGCACGCGCATAGAATAGCATACGACGGTGGGATCATCCAGAACGTGTAGGAAGACGAATGCCTCTCCTGTGCACACATATTCATACTGGATACCTCTGCCAACCATGTAGGAGAAGAGCTGGGTGATGACAGCGGCAACGAGCGATCTCGATGCATACGCAAACGCAAACCCGTCACCGTCCTTATTTATTCCGTCGCGTTCCGGTCTATTCTCAGACTCCAGACCGGTGACAACCCCGTCGCGTCGCAACTTATGCGGTGCCTTGTACTCAATCGCCAGAACCGGAATGTTTCGGCCGGACGAGGTGCGGCACATGCAAAACTGATCGGCCCGATTGCCCTTGCCTTTAGCTCTGCGTCGGGGCTTGCGGCTCGGTAGTTTCGAGGTTATTGCCGCAGCGTCGGTAACAGCCCTCTCGATGGACATCTGCTCCATATGAGCGGAGAGGGCTTCGTCTGTCTGTCCGAGATTGGCGTGGCTCTCGAAAGTCACAGACCCTCGCAAGCCGATGCCACTTTGGAGTTGCGTGTCGCTGTACGCCTTGTCGACAAGCTTTTGAACTGCGTTTTCGACCGTATCGCGCTGAAAGTTCCGGAGGTCCCAGAGGCTAGTCTCGCTGCTGATCGGGCTAAACAGAGACTTGAGGTAGTCCAGTTGATGCGGCGATGGGGATACGGGTCTCGAAGCGAACGAGCGGGAATATGGGGGTTGATCCCATATCTCCTCTTGCCTTGTCGCGAAGTCATTCCATGAAACGATTCGTCGAGGGAAAATCCGCCCGGCCGGGGTGCTCGTATCGCCATGCGTAAATTAGGTGCGATCGGCCACCACCTGAATGGCGAGGCTGAGCGAGTGACAAGATGCGAGATACATTCGAAGTGTCTGTGGCCGTGACGCCCCTGTGTACGTACCACCAGAAGTTCGCCTGGCTAGCGAAACGTTACACCACAATCGAATGATCCTCCCGCTTTGCCGCTGGAACTCACAGGTCAGGAAATAACAAAGCCTCCAGAAAGTATATCAAGTGCATAGACGCTCCGACGATTGTTACTGGTACTTCACACGGATGCGGAACACGATATCCCGTCTGTGGACCCCCGAATTGCCCAGCCCGGCCATGCTACCGTTGGAAGGTTCGACATCGGGGCGCCTTGCCAGTAAACCATGCCGGCGCATCCCGTCCTTGGAGACCTCGAAGCGGGTGGGAGTTTCTGCGGCCAGCGGATGCGAGTAAAAGCGATCGGTTGAGAGAACGGTATTTGTGTGGTTCGTGAATAATGTCTGAGTATGTATGCCATGCTCCGCTCTTTTTGTCCTCAACACGCCTTCATGTGGAGTCACGTCGGGCCTGGATTTCCGTCTGCCCTTGACTCGCCAGGGGAGGAAAGGACTTGCGCAAGGGTCTCGATAGACCTTTCCCGGAGTCCTAGGGGGCACAACAGTGACTTGCCTGATGTGCAACCAGGCACGGATGGTGGAAGAAGTGACAAGGCAAACAGGCACCTTCGGTTGCTCTTTGGGCGCCCTGTTTGACAGTCTGCCTTGTAAGGTTGAAATCTCTGGGCCTTTGGTAGTGTACACAGAGGCTTGGTAATGCCACAGGGTTCCGCTCACTGGACCGCATGCGACATTGGTCGCATGCGTCCCTGCGACCACCAAGGCAGATTCACCTTCTCTGTTGATGGATGCTCTGGATTGTACGGAGTAACAGCAGCGCCTTTTGGAGACTTTGCCAGCCAGAAGGTCAGATAGGAACCTTCTAGCAGACAACAGGATATGAGGCTGCGAAGTTTGCAATGACTGAGCGCTTCCGAGGCCGTTATAGCCAGTAGGTCAACCTCTTGATCACAACACGTCATCCGCAGCGCCAACAGACCCTTGCCTACTTGCGCGCAAACGATGCATGCAGGCTGCTAGGGTATGTGATATACATATACGGCGCGAAACACTCTGATCTCTCTGCGTTTCTGTCATTATGTGGTAACAGGCACCGAAGCGTCACAGTTTTGCTGAGGTAAAAAGGTGGCCATGCGGCGTGGAAACCAAACACAGTGATCTCTTACCGTTACGAATTTCCAACATTGATAGTTGCTGTGAGATATCCGAGCCGGTCTTTTATCTGATATTGCCGTAAGAATGCCGCATGCCACGTGCCACGTGTCCGGCCATCTCGATCAATCAAGACCACTCTCTCCCGAATAGGTGCCCGAGACGTTCGTTGCCAGTAGCGCATTAATGCGCCGTCCTCTCAATACCCCCAGAGTCGGTTGACTACCCCGCACGCCCTCGTTTTACTAGGTAGTCGCGACGACGTTGCAGGCAGCAGAACGACCTAGGCACCAGCTTTGGCCCTTGAGGCCACATATCAAGCTACCTGCAGGGGTCCATCTTCAAAAGGAGGCTACGCTCACGAGGCGATTCGCTACGGAGGCAATGCTATGTATCGAATCGATCATGAACTCCCGCAAAAATGCCCGGGCAAGGTTCCTTTGATGAGCAAGTAAACATCGTATGTAGTTAGTTCCAACAAGCCCGAGTTCGTTTTCTTTCCATGTCTTGTCGTGGGTCGAGAATGCCTGGCGAGTCGCCCTGTGCCGACGATTGGCTGTGATGGCCCAAATCCTGGTTCTATCACACGCAGTATCTAAGCCCCCCAGATTACGTTGCGACCCTGGTTTCTTGTACAAGTGACTCCCTGATTGGCTTCAGGGAAGACTCGTTGAAAGCACTGCCCGTGCGAAAATACTAAAGTAGGAGCGCAACCGTTCGATGCGAGGGTAGGTCCCGCCCTGCCTTGCTCGCAATTGGAGAGTCCACTAGGTCCACCCCGAATATTAAATCTATCTGCAGAACAACCTCTCGAGAGAGCCAACTGAAGGACTTGTCATATCGCTTCACGAACTCGGAAAACAGCCGAAGACCAAGCCTACTATTTTCTTCGCCTCGAACGATCAGGCCATCTGGAAAGAAGCCTTCGAAATAAGCAAAGGTCAAAGTTAAATCATGGTGGACCACTCAGGCTTCGATACCCCGTTGAAGGCCGAGTTTGATCGGAATGAGAACCCACGATGCAAGCACCCTATCACTTTCATCGACGGCAGTGGAACTCTTCTAACTCCGATTACAGCAGCTCCGAATGAACTAAGCAGCATCTCCGACGGCATCAAGACGAAACTCACGGCCACCGTCGGAGGTCTCGTGTCGTTCCACGGTCGACTCATGTTCCTGACTGTCCAACCCTTTCCTGAAGAGACAATCACCCCAATCAATGCCGGAAGCTTGGCAGACGGCAACGGTTCCGATGAGGAGAGCGATGACTGTGAACTCACGGGCTGGAGCGACTTCGAGAACGACGACGATGACGACTCGGCGCTGTTGGACACCATTGCTGACGAAGCTTCAACTATATCCTCCATACCCGCGCCAGCAGAGCCTGCCAAGAAGCTTCAATCCAGGCCTCAGGACCTGATGCCTTCAACCGAACAAGAACCCAGCATAGACCAACACAGCGGTGCAATCGCCACTGGAGAGGTGGTATTTTCCTCAAAAGAGCTGTGCTATGCACTCGTGGAAGTATCACCTTCAGTGCTCCTGCAGCTGGGTGGCGAGAGGGCCCATGCCCAGGCAGTTCCACTCGAAAGCTACCTGGACTATGTTGAGTCTGCGCCATGCGATGCGGCCGTTGAGGTCACCACTCCCGAGGGACGAAGCATTGGCGGCACTCTTTCCGGCACGCTGGCTTTGTGCCGCCCACCAGGGCGCAGGGAACTTATTCAAGTCTACAGCGCGAAACTCAACTCTCCCATCGCCTCTGGCGAATATGGCTCGTGGCTTCGCAACGCCAAATCCAGGAAGATCTATGGACACGTCTTCCCAGGCAAGCTACTCGGAAATGAGACGATGGTCGTACCTGCGCACCAAGTGCTCCGCCAAGCACTCGAAAAACTCAGCCAGAATAGTATGAATCGCACAGCGGACTTGGAAAGGCACACGGAATACCCGGGTTGTCCCAGTGAGAAATCGGCAACCAAGACAAGCTCGGGCTCCAATGTTCCGCAACTCGCCTAAGTACACGCGGAGTGGATGATGGCCTCAGCAACGCCTCTGGACGATGTCCCGGGACATATCGCGTGTTATCGCTCAGACGACCGAATCAGTGAACTCATATTTGTTTGGCAATAATTCTCCTTTTTGGATGGTCGGCTAGAGCATAGCACTGATACTAACTTATGTCGCGTCATGGGAGGAGCTTTTCGACTGTGTCACTTGCAGAAAAGAATTCAGCTGTGTCACAAGGCTTCTCACAGCGGTAAGGCTGTAGGAAGCTCTCTCGGAATGTTTGGTGGTGCGTTGGTGTTGAGCATGTCTATAGAGCGAGATGTTCAGTTCCAGACCTAATCTATCTATCTATGCTGCCAACATCCGCAACAAATGTTTTGCTTGTTTGCAGAAAGTGAGCGAAGAGGTCACCCCTGCAGTCCATGCCAGCATGGGAAGTCTACACGTTGCTAGACGTCGTACAAGTTCTTCATAACCGGGCCGTGATCCATCAAAGATGGTATGGATAAGCAGGGGGTGGTCGTGGATGTTGCTAAGTTGTGAACCTTCTTGCAACGGGGGGATAGATGCTGCTGTGCTACATGGAGTCTGCCTTTGACGAGATGCCTCGGCTTTTTACCCCTTCAAGCAGGACGAGAGGAGGTGAGCCATCCATTACGACGCGGCAGCCTAAATATCATGTAAGGACATCGCACAGATCAGCTGGCACATGAGCAAAACTGCCCGTGACCATTTCTTTGGAGTTTCTGTGCCGTAAGAAGCTTGCTTTACCTTTAACTAGTCTCGCCCATCCGACCTTCCCCCGATTATAGATCTCAAACCAAACCGCCTTCTTAAGGCGCTCGTCAATTGGCTCATGATTCAAGATCAGGGTTGAAGTGTTCCATTCCTGATTGGGCACGTATTGGCGGCGGCCAATCCGTACGTCACATTGGCAATTCTTCAGATAGGACACCTTTCAATGCGTGAAAGTGATAATCAAGTGCCATTTACCCGGCCTTGTAGCTGCAACAGCTCGTATGAAGTCAAGCAGTATGAGAAGCCACGAGGCTCGGAATCGTGCGACTCTTTCATCCAGTAGTAGCATTATCGAGATTGGCTCGGAGAAGTGAACGAGGCAAGCGTTCATTACCATTGGCGAGGGGATCCATTATCCCTTATCCCAGAAATGATTTCAATGATGGCTACTTTCATCACTGGCGGTTGTACGAGTGCTACTAAATTCAGCCAGTGAGCTGCCGACCCTCCAAGAGACCAAAAACAGAGGGGTACTTGCGCAGACGCATCAACATTGCAGAGCGATGCTGCGCCGACGTATTTATCAGCACAGAACAAAACTCACTCGAGTTGCAGCTGAAGCCGGCTCTGAACCACTTGCCCGAGGCCGCACGAAAAGCTATTGCGCAGGTCGACAAAATAACAAAATACCTCAACGTAGGCAAAGATCTAGCCAAGGCAGTGATAAGAAGGGCTTATCGCAACATCTTTCAGCATATTACTCTCCAGCCTCTTCTTTCCGTCTCACCTGTTCTGCTTTTCTGCCAAAGGGGACGGCAAACCTTTGTTTCGTCCATGCAGGGGTCCAGCTCCCATCTTGCGGCGACGCGTCGCTTGCACAGCGCTATTTCTCTTTCCTCTTACTCGCGTGATGTTTTGTGTGCTGTGTGCAGACCTGACGCTACGGGTTATCATAGTGCATCCGCTATTCTGAACCTGCTCAGTTACCAAAGCATCTCCTTGGGGTCGTTTATCTTGGGAAAAGGCCAGCTTCAAGTGAAGCCACTGAGAGCTCGTTGACGTATTCTTCCTCGTTACTCAGGACCTCGAGCACTTCTACGTTGTAGAAAGACAAATCCGTTTGAAGTGATGGATACCCTTGGCGTGCTTGTCGGGCGACCGCTTATAGTCGCGGCTCTCGACAACTTCTCGGCGCCTGCGGGCTTGTTGCCTTCGACCTCCATCATCGAAAATATGACTGGCTATTGCGTGACAGTATCGTGCGGTCTGCCGAGGACGACAACGACCGGACGAAACAGGTCGCGCAGAGTTAGCGGCGTCTGCGAAAAGAACAGAATAACTAAAATGATTGGTTGTAAGCCTTGCACCGGAACATAGAGCACAGTAGATGGAAGCGCTTCGAATGCCGCAATGCTTGCAGGAGGTCGCTCACCTCCGCAAGCAGTGGACGAGTTACCTGGGGACATTGTAGCACTAGGCGGTTTGCCGCACTACACCACCCCTGCGTTTTCCCCGATGAGTACAGGACTGTGTACCCCCCCCCCCCCCGGTTCCTGTTGGAACAGTAGCGTTCGAGGGTGTCGCCGCTCAAGCCAGGGACGTTACAACAGAGGTGGTGTGGGGGCTGGAGCCTCTTATGACCGCGCGCTACCCCCCCGGCCGCAACTGTATCTGTTCCCCGTGGAGACCGGTAGAAACGCGCCCCATCTAACGCCAGCCACGTGGTCCAGTGGGACGGATTCGGTCGACTGAGAGGCCGCACCTGGTCATAGTATGCAGACGGCTGGGTACCTCGCAGTCTGGCACCCCACCTTAGCCCAAGAAACACAGGGGATCAACCACCTTGCCGCCCGTCCCGTACTTGCTCCCAACCTGCCAAGCGATAGCCCAGCCGGGCTCAACCGGAAGGGGCTTCAATTTGCAGCGCCTCGATGCTCGAGGAGACGACGCATGCGGGGACATGCGCTGCGTGGGATAACGTGAGAAGCATTGCGCACGATCCACTTAGTCACGGAAAGACGTTGAGAAGGGCTTTAGAATGCGCTGGGTTCTCGAAAAGGCCAAGAGCCTAGACGCTGTACATCTCCGGCCCCTCGTCCAGGAAACAGCCTTTCACAGCCCTGATCGTGCGGATGTCCTGCTCTATGCCCATCTGGCACCGCTCCTGCCGAGCTGCATGCCACATCCCAACCAAGCAACTCTTGGTCCAACTACCCGCCCTGACCGGACATACTGGAGCCGCCCGAAGTAGCGATAGCATGCCGTACAGGGTTGCCTGAGGCTGACCGAGCTTAGAGCCGAAGATGGCTTTCTGTTTGGCCCACAACCAGTTGGGACACAACGTCATCTGGCCCTCATACTCCGCACACTGCACCAGCAACGAGGCGAACATCACAAGGCAGATCCACGTCTCCAAGTTCATACCAGCCTCATCCAGGAGCTTCTGGAATGGCTTGTTTTCCGTGCTCCCTTCCGCGCCAGTGTACTGGTCGAAAAGGAAGCATTCCCAGCGGTCCCCCTGATATCTCAAACCACCGAAAACGGGCCCGGTTCCTCGTGAACTTGACAGACACAGTATATCGGGTAGGTAATCCGAAATCTGAGCTGGATGAAGGTGCTTTGGATCCCCTCGAATCGAGCGGCGAGGTGCCAACGCGATTTCTAAGACTTTCCTTAAGCTATCCTCATTGTCGGAGGCGCAGATGAGTTGCGTAGAACCATCTCCTGCTTTCATGTCCGCAATAACCGTTCTTGCATTGCCGCGCACGTGGACCACCTGACGAGAGTTTTCGCCAGCGGTCAAACTGATGTATGTTGTCCCTTGTCCGTCGATGTCCACAAATTGTGTGGCTAGAACTCCTTCCATGTCATCTGTTTCGTCGAGGCATTTGAGCTTATGTAACTCGGTTGTGAGGTTCCTACATACCCTTGGACGTGCAAACACAGCATGGTTCCCTTGTGTTTCCTCCGTCAGACAGAATGCGAGTTTCTGCCACGGCGAATCGAAGTGGCATTTGAGCCTGGGTTTCAAGCTTGGTCCCGGCGTTGCGTTCCGACTTGTCCGGTTCAGAGGAGGTATCCTGCTGAGTCTGCCTTCCGGCGAACGGCACGAGAATTTTCTTGACCATCGTGTCTAGCAAAAGAATGCAAGGGAAGAACCGGCTGAATTCTGTGCGAGCGACTTGACGGACATACGTGCAGGCAGGATACGGGGCGGCAGGGCCGCATTTATGTACGTGGGCGAAAGGCTTGCGGGTGGTCTCGACCCAGTAGTCAGCTGTTGATGCAACCGGCGGGCGTGTGTTGGTTGGAAGCCCCGCTGTGACGAGTGCTAAAAGCTGGAAGAGCCTGCCAACCGATGGATGCCCTGTTGGTGCCCTCCCAACGCCGCAAGTGTCCACCCTGCTCTGTGGCAGGCCTTAGGGCGCGTAGAATGGCTGTGGTCTGGCTTGCGCTGGAGCTGCCGGGGGTTGTGCACGTATCACAGGCCTGCAAGTGCAGCATTAGCCACCATGAATGACCACCCTGTTTCTTTTTCCGTCGTACTCAAACCAACTTAGAAGGCCGTGAACTTATAGATTAGCACTGTACAACCATTCGCATTCCGGTACTGTCTTTGGCCGTGAACGATCTTCATTCGGTCAAGTGAGGAGCACTTGCTCGTTGGCGGCTACAGGGTTCACCTCAGCTCGCGCGCCTGGTAACCACAACATGGGTTTTCGTCCGAGCGCAAAACCACTGCCAAACACACAGACGAAAATCGCAAACCAACCCCGGCGGCAGCGGGAAGCCATGCTGCATGCCTTGCTTCCGAATGTGGAAAGTCAATGGGACAAAGCTATGAGCGAATCTCTCGAAGAGCAAATGACAGACGGACAACTGTCCCCATGGTCTCAATCTCATGAATGGAAAGCCTGATTGGAAATCGCGAGGAGCGGTAATGTTATCGCAAGGCCCTTCCTTCGGATAGGAAAGGGTAAGACGCGGGTCGCATGCGAGGCTACACCACCAGGGGTTGGGGGGCTATGTTAAGCGCTCCTTTGCAAGGAGCGGCTGGTGATATGGCGGATGCACTCCTAATCGCAACACACAGTAAGAAAAGCTGGACCTTTATCAAAAACAGCCACAAAACCCCATGGCATGCGCTCAAAAGTAGCAAACAAAAAGAGGAACAAAGCCGGCAATTCGTGGATTTCCAACCAACTACCCGCGCTCGATGATGCACAGTCCTTGGGCTTGAGATCTCCGTTGACACTCATCCACGGAACACATCGAGCTTCATCCGGCCTGTCAACAGAGTCCAAACCCAGAGACCGTCGACAATGAAAATGTCAACAAAACTGAATACAAGACTCCCACCAAACACCAGGCTGTGGTACGTCCACGCCCGATCGGCCGAGAGCTGGGCCGTCTGGCACACAATCGCCCAAGGTAGCACGTGCAAGAGGTTGCGCGCCAGACTCTGCCAGAGATACCACTTCGGTCGCGTAGCCAACGGAATGGTCGCCAACATCGTCGACATGGCATAGAAAAAGTAGCACCAGTCAATCGTCCGCCACATCATCGCAGTCACGCTGGCAACTTCATCCGAGCCGCTGAGATACCGCGCGAAGGGTCGTGCGCCGAAATACGTCAGGAACAAGCACACGGGCACCTCGACGGCGATAGCTATAGCGAGGGAGTTGAGGGCTGGTCTTGTAATCTTGCGGATGGTGCTTCTTCCTGCCCTTGGCTGCGTAGTCTCAACGCCGATGCTCCGTCTCCAGGCGCCCCATGCGTGACCAACATATGCCAGGGACGTCTGTTCCAGGGCCTGAATGGGAACCATGATAAGACCCCACCGAATGGTATTAAGATGCTCCACGCTGTCGCATATGTCGAACCCATGGAGACGATGTTAGTAACCAGCCAGAGGTAGAGTGCGTTGCGGATCGCCGACTCGACGAAGGTCAAGGAAGGCACCGGGGCGGAGAAGGATGAGGAGTGCCTTCGCACTCGGACGTGTCGTCCCGCCTTCATCGTCATGCCCACGCCGGCGCTTCTGAAAGCGAATGGTGTTGCTCCAAAGAAAGTACGCAAGGCCGAGAAAGGCGGAATGGATCCTTGCCTGCATGTTGACTGTCGGCTGGTGCGACCCGATGTGGACCTTGGAAATGATCAGCAGATCAAGGACGATATTGACGGCGAACTTGACAGAGCTGATGATCAGCGGCACGTCAGGACGGTCCAGTGCTCTTGTGGCTGACGAAACAGCAGTCTCGATGCCACTGCTGAGCGCGCTGAATGCTCCGATGCGAATGTAGGTGATGCTGACGACGCGGACCTCGGCCGGCACGAAGCCTTTGGCAAATGTTTCCGCGCCGGCGACAAAGGCGATGCTTATGATGAGCCCCATGACGGACTGGAAAGCAATGAGGGTATGCGTCAACTGCAGCCTTTGCGCCAAGAATCGAGATGCCCTGTCGCCGATGATCACCCATGCCGCGCGTGGAAGACCTTCATTGAGAAGCTCGGTGACTACATCGATGTAGGTGTACGCGTCCGTAGTGACGACGAGGGACGAGTCAATGTTGGCGACCCAGAGCTTGGAGAGGGTGCCATAGAGGGCAGGAAGCACAAAGGCGGCAAGATTGAAAGCGAGTGCGCCGTGATAGGTACCCCGGCGGCATATTCGCAGTTGCTCGGGGACGACGCTGCTATCCCGTGGGCGTGACACGGGGCGCACGATTTCTTCGGTGTCGTTTTTGGGTAGCATCATGTAGTGAGTTGGATTGGTTGCACTACCCAAGAGAAATGCACTTGCACGTTTGATGGCTGGTAGCCTCATGTTTCATTCTTGGGCAGGGCAGTCGTATATGGTTTTGGCGAGTGTATGGGGAACACTGGCCAGCGTTCGGGTGTGGGCGAACTCTTGCGGGTGCACGCCGTTGCAGGAGGCGAATGGGATCGGCGTAGGATTTAGTCGTTAGCACAGTAGGAGGGTATGCCAGCCGCGCCGCCTGTGGTGGCAAAAAGTCGTCTTTCAGATAAGAACCTGGCAAAGGATTGGTATCGCCAAAGCTATGTATCGCACAATGTCCATTGGTGGTCAACAAACAGGCATGTGATGTGAGTGTCTTCATACATGCAGCCTCGCAGAGCAGCGCATCGCCTTACACATGCTGCGAAATCATCGCTTCCTTTGATGCAGGCGACGTACACAACACAAGATGGTCGCGTGCAATCAAGGTCGGTATGCCGTCAGACGCCCGAAGATGTTCCAACTATTGGACGAAGAAAAGCCCCCAACCAGTTGCTGCGCGGCGCTTAAGACCGGGCGGGGCCGGAAAACGTCGGCGGACGGGTGTGCAGCTCCGGTACCCGGTCTTCACACTAGGGTTCAAGCTGTTAATCGCGGCCAAACGCTCAGCCAATGTGAAGAAAATGGGGGAATCGCTGGTCTTTGAACGATAGCGGGCAGGCGTTCAGTTTGGAGCCTGCTTGGTTGAGGCTCACAAACCACCTGAATCGTGGTGGTTCGCTGACAGCACGCCCGACTGGTGTTGTCCTGCCAGGGCCAGGGCGGGCATCCACATGTTTGGTCAGCTCTTGCCCAAGTACCTCCGACCATCATGCGAAGCAGGTAAGCATACTCAGATCCCACTGTGGAAGTATCGGTACAAGCGCCGCAGTAAGATTTGCAGGGTACCACAGTACACGCGACGTTCACTTGTAGGCTGAGCTCGGGTTACAGGCATATAGAAAGAGCACGCAGCCCAGCAAGTTGCGTCCGCCTCAGCTAGCAGGTGTTCTGCCATTCCAGACTGGTGCAGCCGTTCGTGGGTTCTCGGTCAACATCCTAATCTTGATTTGCACGGTAATGCTAGTCGTTAGCCAAACCTACAGTTTTGTCGGGAGCGCTTGAGAGACGGATCCTCGGCGATTGGCTGAGTGAACCCATCTTCCCCTCACGACCACGTCGGGCATCCATGCACAATCCCAACATATGTATGAGAAGAGAGATTGCTTTTGAAGTGAGCGAACATCTCGCAAAACCCTTTAAGGGAGAACGGCGCCAGGCTTGATCCATATCGAACCATCTCACGCGCGCGCAAACTGGGATCGATCATGTCGTTCAACTTTTGGACACCGCCGCTAAAGGCCGACTTCCATCGAGTCCTTACGTCCATGCGACAGCTAACTGATGTTCCATCGGAGCCACGAACTTATCGCGGAGGAAGAACATCACAATCTGACACCCACACCCTTTCTATTGAGGATGAAATGCAATGTGCCGATGCCATCGCATTCCTTGCGCATCACAAGGAGGGAGCTCAATTCGTTTCTACGGTGACCTTGCGTGAATGTCACGAACGGCTGCGGATCGTCCTTGCCGGCAACACAACACCATCATCAAAGGTCCAGGATGAGCTCGCGAAGGTAATGGATCATGTAAGCACGCTCAGCAAAGAAGGCATGTCTCACAAAGGGGCCTTCATGATCAAGATCTGACATCTCTGCAGGCGGTTCGAAACGTGCTGTCCAGGGGAAGCTTCTCGAGATGGTTATCCGCTTGAACAGTAGTCGTATTCTAAGCCGGCTGCGGCCGACCTGGGTGGCACAACCTCGCCACTTCACAAGACGACAGATGTCATTGCAGGGCAGAGTACAGACGTGCATAGTCAGGATCGAAAAATCCCTACAATCCACTGCGCAAATCACACAAGTTCTCGAACGACTGAAGGGCTTAGGGGACACCCTAAAACTCGTCGAGCACCCTACAGAGCCCAGTGCCTTGTTGGACGCCATTAAGACCATTGTCGAAAATTGCGCGCAAGTGGCAAGCCTGGGCAGCGCTAACTCGGTCGAGGAGCATCTGAAGTCGTTGGGCGTTGGAAAACGGCTCGCCGAGAGCCCAGAGATCCGCCAGATTGACAAGTTGGCAAGGTACTTTTTCACATGCAAAGACCTTACCCGTCTCGCAAAGAAAACCCGCTATCGGCACTTGTTTGGACATGTCGAGGTTGTGGCTTTGGAGTCACCCGCAGGCATTATCCCTCCAGGTGTTGCTCAGTACTGCTTCGTGCACGCAGAGGTTCAACAGATATTCGACTTGGAACGGCAGCCACATGTACCAGCGCCGCGGGCAATCGGATGCAGCAAGTCCGCTTCCTATCTATGTGATCTATTCATTCGTATGCATGGGGTTTATGTGGTGTCGCACACCCATGGTCGGCTTTACGAGGAATGGACGCTGCCAGACGTCGACTGGATGACCGCTAAAGAGACAGAGAGGTTTCGAAGCGTGATAGATTGCATGACAAGGGACATGGGAGAGGCGATTCAAAGGCTCAAAGTCGAGAGACGAATCGTGTATTGCTATCCTCTTGAAAGTCGTGCATGTCTGCCTTTGTCCAGTGGAGCCACCTCGAGCCTGACTGAACGACTCACGGAGGTTGAGGGGAACGTGATCCCAGCGCGGCATGGCAATGTTGAAGACGCCATGCTACCAAGGCGCCATTCATGGCCGGTCATGCTGTCACATTTCGTCAAGATCACGGAGCTAGAACTACCGTGGCATCGGTACGCGTTGGTGGGACAAGGGCCGTTACACATCCAGATCGACAGACTGTCCCTTCATATGGAATTTGCGTCGACAGCGACTGGGCTGCTTTCGGTTTATCGTCGACATGATGGCGCCCTTGACGAGGGTAAGATTTTGAAAGCAGCCGACATCCCCATGGACTCAAATCTTCTTATCCGGGGCTGTCGAGCCACGGGGAAAGTGGCATTCGGCATCTCACTCAATGCCATTGTGGTGGTTCAGATCGAGTTTGTTTGGGATACACCTTCACATCAATAAGCTTTCGCTCCGTGAGACTTTTGGGGAATGGCTCTACGGGAAACAAAAGTTGACAGGGTTTTGACATGTAAGGAAGAAGCTAATGAGCCCTTCAGACCTGATGTTGCAACAGTCGTAGTGTATTTACGAAACAGTCCGATGATCTCGACATAGAGCTATTGGTTATGAGTAGTAATTACGCAGCTGGAACCAGCTTTTTCGCGGAGGCAAAAGGCTCGACTCAGCACGTCGTGAAATTTGCGTAGACTGACCTGGCGTTCAGTATTGCCTTGCGACGAAGCACCCACTGTCACCTTTTGCCGCAAAATTGAAAACTGGATATGTAGGCACACTCTTGATCCTTCATCCCGTCTTGCCCGGTGGTGTGAGTCTGGTCAATCGTGTATACACAGCACCTTCGAGATGGACGGCCGCTAGCATCAGCTTTCCCTGAGACTTACGTGGATGTCGTTCACACATTCCATCCGTGCACGTTCGGAAAGGACTGCAAATGCGCATCTCAGATTCCACGTGAATGAAATCAATGCAAAGGCGGATACCCATGGGTCCAGGCCAGGCCATAAGCTGCCATGTCCTTCCTTCACAGATGACCTGATCAGAGTGGCCTTCCACACGAGCTTACATTTCTCTCTCATTACAGAGCATCGATTCGCGTGCTCTGCACGTCGAGGGTCGAGGAGCTTCCTTACCATAATAGTCATGATGCCGTCCCGCTGTACTAGTGCGTCTTACAGTCAGAAAACCCCATCGGTGGTTTATCAATCGCTGCCTTCGTAGCCATCAGAAGCTGTACAGCGGCATTCCTCTGGCCGATGTTAGATCTCTCACGATCTGCGGCTGCAATCTCAAGTATCCGCAGGATGTTGGAGTTCATGGCGGCTTGAGAAGGGACAATGCCAACCTATATCCACGTCGTAAAGCTTCAAGACATGTGACTAGAGCTGCAGGAAAAGGGCCCCAATCCCACTACGCTATATTCAAACACTCCATGAGCAGCAGGGTGTGTTACTGGCGCAACGTATCTCTGTACAACAGCGCCTCGATGCACTATAAGCAGTCATAATGAAGGAACAATCCTTGCGGAATGAGGGGATCATCTGGGTGTCAAAACGTTTGGCAATATGTTCTCAGTTCTGTCTCCACGACGGCTGACTTTTATTCTCCAGGATCGTGCAGCTCGATCTCTCCTGCCCTTGTGTCACGCAGAAAATGGCACGCCTGCTCGTCAAAGTCTATCTCCCTCTTTCCCTGGAGCTAAAGAGGGATGCTGGTCGGGTCGTGGCGCTGGGTGAGGCACAAAAGTATCTTGGACAATCTGGTTGAAGCCGAAGGTTCACGGCTTCGTTGTTGCAGCCGATCCGTCATCAGGATCACCTTGGATGTTAGATCTCTAGATCTCTATAGGAAGTGACAACATCACCGAAGCTTTCAGACCTGTGCAACATTGGAATCGTTTACCATTTGGCGTCTCTCGATCGGCCGTGGACTCCATGCCGCCATCTCGTCGATTCCCCGGTTATCACAACTGCACCAAGTAAGGACGCCAGCCTAGTTGACGATGCGAATTCCGCTGCACCTACCGAGACAGACGTTTTGGACTTATTCCCAGATTCATGGCTTTGCGTACGGGATAGAGCCTCGATTTGGCACCCAATGCGCTGAGTGAAAGGTCATGAATTGCAGGAAATCCACGGATCGTCTTTGTCGGGGTGCGTATGAGCCAACAGCCATCGGATGTCGTTCTTGGTTCACATGGAGACGAGGGGAGGGCAGTGATGGCTGGGCGGAATGCAAAGGTGCGGCTCGCAGAGTCGAAATGGGGGAACGCTGCGCACCGTCAGGACAGCTTCGCGGGCCAGATACGCGCATGGTTATAATCGGCCCTACGATATGCTGCTAGAGATACTCGAACCTGTGAGGACGAGGTCGCGGTTGATGTTACGTTGCGAATCCATTACGATGTGGCTGGGGCTTATCGTCCAAAGGGCGATTATGGTGCTTCTACCCATGTCGCCCTGTCTCGCCGCCATCGTCAGTTTTCGCATAGCATCGACCGCAATCCTAACCAATGACTCGTAGTTGCGCTGTTCGCGAGCTTCGACCGAGTGGGTATCCCCCAATGTTTGGTCCTCACGTTTTTCATCACTTGCAACATCCTTTGATGTCGTTGACCGGCCGCTGGGTCGGTCCGTGTCAGGGCCATGAGTGCGGATCAGAACAGATTCGGGCTGATTAGATGAGTGTCCTTACCATCATGTCAGCATATAATGAGTACCACAGAAGCCCGTTCCGAGTTGGCGACGCTCTTTATGCCGTCCTTTTGTGCGAAGATTCGCAGTCAATCATGGGCTGGGATACATCGATCTGCAGACATGCGCAACGGGGTCATTAAGATCGACTCATGCATTCGACAACAGCGAATTGCAAGACCAATGTCCGCATTCCCAGCTGGTAAAGTATGTCTGCTGAGCACGGTCCACTCAAGACTCGGAAATAAAGGGAAAAAACCACCTTGGGTTGTGAAGCGTTGGTATGTATCAGACCGGTTGCTTTGCGCGACCTCCCACTAATCCCCGCTAATTCAAATTGAACCAGCCTGGCGGGGGAGTGTGGTGCGGCTGCGACGGATAAAGGTCGTCGACGCTCTGCTGTGCTTGACGCCGACCCCGACATGGAATGCAATTCCTCTTGGTCCCATGCTGTAAGTAGCCGCCGAGACCCTTGGCAGTCGCTATGACCCTGCGAGCACCAGGATTAGACCCTGCGGATGCCTCCGCGGTGAGGAGCAATCCCATAGTAGTGATTGGCGGTTGCAACTGGCCAACGATTGGTCGTTGACCAAGTGGTGCATACCATTGGCCAGCATGTTGGTGCAAAAATGTGTCTCGGGCCGTTGGTTGGTCGTAATCACTGTCACAACGGCTTGACGCCGCCAAAGCAGGTTGGGTGCGCTATCAACAGGCATACTACGTAGATCACAGGCACAATACTAGGCGGACTAGTGTAGGCGCCCGAAGGGCCATCTTGTGCCAGAGGCCAGACTTGCTTCACAATAAAACAACTCTTCCTTCCTTTTTTTTTCTTCTTTTTTTTTGTGGCTTGGTCGATACGTGTGTGTGGCTTGATCGTCTTTGTAACTTCACGACTCGTCCACGAGTACCGGTTCACCGCCCAAGTACCATCGTGGGAAACTTGCTACAGTCTTGCGTACGGCAAGATCCGTCCGGGTGCTGACGCTGCGAGCGGATCTTGAGAAGCTAATCTCACAGCTGCATACAAGTTGTAGCCGCACCTGTTTTCCTTACGGCTGGCAGGCCTGCCTAATTAGGGCTAGGTGTATTTTCCACCAACCCACTGTGACCCTAGTCAACCCACTCTCCGTGTCTGCCTCTGCCCATCCTGGTGATAGGGGTTGACATACGACGGTACAACGGGCTTCACAGTGCGCCGCTTTTCGCACCGCTGTGCATACAGGGGTACGCAAAGTAGTCTACGCTTACCTCTCTTCCACACGTCTGGCTAATCACCAGGAGAAGGCGTTATCGATTAGGGTGGCGTCTACATCGTCGAGTGGTTGACAGTCCAGCCAACGGTCACTGCCGCCCTTCATTTGCGGTCTTGGGTACTTCCTGCCGCCGAGACTCAGCAACGTGACGCAGGGATTAAAGTGGTGATTTGGCGCTGCCTTTGCCGTCACAGAGATAGGCTCAGGCCGTGTCCCCGAGTCCGTTTGAGTTCGTTTCCGGGCCTGTAACAGCCAAAGTCTTGCTGACACTTGCTGCTGCTCCTTTCCGCGCTGTCGAAGGCCGGCTATCCACGCATTGCGGCCAACCTCCAGCATCCCTCACGAAATGTGCCGAGTCGCAAGTTTCGGCGACGTCGAACAGCCGGCCGGTAGGGCAAAGTCACATTGGGCTTGTCGAATACACAGAGGTGCTTGACTGTGCCGGGCGCCATGGACAGGCTCAGCTTGCCGAAGTCTTCGGCAGCACGGAGGCCTTGCCATGCTGGTATCTGCCGTGCTGGTGTCTGATAGAGTAGGCCACTGTAGACATGCCTCGTTAGGTAGCTGTGGCCTCGAGCAGACCAGGTGCAGTGCGTCACTCACAGGCGGAAGCCCAGCCATTCAGCGGCTGATTCAGAATCATGTGTAGGTTATTCGTCCTCCCGATACCGCTGCGGGAATTCCTACGTATCCATGATTCCATGGTACTACTGTACTACGCTTCATGCTCCAAACGAAGTCACTGGGACCTCATCACCGTGCATAAATAGTGGGCCAGCCCCTCAAGTACGCCAGCTCTCCACAAGCACACCCAAAGCCATTATGCCGGGCCTTTCCTTGCTTTGTATAAGTACCCATTCCTTCTCGCCGTCATTTTGCCTGTGGGATTTCTGGTTCGCGTTGCTGACAACTGGCTTGTCTATCAACCGCAACCACCAACGGCTACTGTAAACAACACAAGCGACAATGCCCACGCTCACGGATAGCTCTACCAGCTGGGTCGAGAGGCAGGTGAGCCAACTCGACACCGTGTGGGCTGACTTAAGGGTAATCCAAGCCGAGCTCGCTGGTTATGGGGATGTGAACAGTGCTATCAAATTGGTTCGGCTCTTGAAGCCTTCGGAAGATCACCCACTGAACCAGCTCATGAAACGGTTCGAACCATTGGAAGAAAGGTTGCATAAGAAAATCGACTGGACAAATCTGGAAGAATGGATCAAGAACGCGCAAAACCAGCTACGCGAAGAAGTCGAAAGGTTGGCCTGGATGTACCAGCTGCTGAAGATCAACTTTTCGGAGTTGGGGCTCGAGGATGCACATACCGAACTCTTAGAACACCCGCTTTGGCGTTCGCTTGACCGTCTCTTCGGGCCAAACTGGCAAACGCGATCGTCAGAAATGCACCGCGCCATGGGCATCGACTTAACATCATCCAATTCGATTCCTATGGACAGGGAACAATTCTGGCGGGCTGTTTCCCGGCGTGAGAAGCAGGTTCTGCAGGATCTGGACAAGCTCGAACTGAAGCAGGAATACCTACCCGCCTTTCGAAGGAGCTGGGCAGGGTTGAGTACGGATGCTAGGAAGCAGGTTCTCCTGAAATATCAGCTTCCCTGGATCCAAAGTGCTCATATCTATGCCTACCTGAAGGGGCCCGAAGACGGTCGTTCAACTGCTCTTCATCCCTATCAGCCATTCAATTGTGTTGACCTCTCGGAGAGCGACGTCCTACCATCTTTGCTGGAAACGCGGTGCAAGGTGCCACCGCAACATTTCCTTCGCCTGGATGGTCGTTATTCGACCTTGGGTCTTCTTGCAGGGCGGAACACTCCCATCGCGGTGGAAGGAGTATTGTTCTTGAAGCTCCACAACGGATCTTCCGGTGAGGCGGGGGCGCGTCGGGTCTACAGAGATACTGTCTCCGAGCTCGCAGATCACGAAGCACTAACATGCGTTAATCCGAGCGTTATTACTCCTAGCGTGTTCTTCTGGCAGCTCGAAGCGCAAGAGAAGGTCTACCGGTTCCTGGGCTGCTTGGCGGACACGATAAATAACACGTCGAAGGCTCAAGTGGGAGATGAGCCGTTCCCGGTCGACAATGGTGACGCTGAAAGAACCCCTCTCATTGATCGCTTCTCCCGGCCCAACTATCTTTCCCACACCATGAGTATTAATCTGGAGGATATGGGAGATGTCATCAGAACATCACTTGACGAAGCAATGGACCATTTGCTGCAGGCTCGCCAAGACGCAGACGCCTGGTATAGCGGGCTGAAGGGATTGGCTAAAAGCAGCGGTAAAAAAGAGCTGCTTACCATACTCTTCGGCCGCATCGACATTTTGAGTGCTTTGGACCAGTCCATTGGAACCGCTATTCAACAGACTAGAAACCCTCTGTTGAGTGACGCAGACGACGACATACAGATCGCAGCATCCCTCGACATCGCTCTTTGTGCCGCGTTCGAAGAGAGATTGCTCCATTTCCGATGGATCAAGCCACCGCCGCAGAGAACACTCACCACGGTTGGCGATCGGCTCTTGGAGATGATCATACAAGATGATCCTGTCCTTCGGTCTATGGGGTTCTCGGAGGTGATGAAAACCGTAGAGCGAGAAGCGTATGGAACAACGTCCTTCCCCATAGCGGTCTCCCAAACCCTCAGCGACCTGCACGTCATGGCTGTCTGCTTGGAGGAGATAAGCAGCCATCATCCGTCGATCTCTGACTGGGTGCAGTATTCCAGGGTGGCCGACTCTCTACACGCGGGACAGACCGGCAGGCGGCGGCCCTGGCTGGAAATCCTCGACAAGACGGTCGAAGCAATGGAAAACGCCGACGAGTTTAATCTAACTGAAGGGCATAGGGTTTTCTGGCAACGACTGGACCAGCAGATGGCAAAGGTATCACAGAACGACCAAAGTCTCGAAGGCATATTTCGCAAGATAGAACAAACAATGCCGCTTGGGTCTGAACAGCCTGTGTCAGAAGTTCCGACGGATGCCTTGGTCTCTATCTTCAGGAAGGCGCCTGGGACGGCAGCCACCGCGACTCAACTCAAACGAACACGTCGGAGAGGGGGACGACACCAGACTCCCAACCCCAGCCGACCGACCGGGCAGTCGACCCAACGGCCCTTATGCAGCTCATTCCCGCGTCACTTGCCACATACCCAGCTTGGAGAATCGGACTTTTGGCTGTCGTTACAAGACGGCACTCAGCAGACCTTCTCCTGGGATGATCTCTGCAAGGCCATGTGCAGCCTCGGATGCAGCATGGAACCAGCCGGTGGTTCGGCCTTTCGCTTCGTCCTCCGTAATTCCAAGGGCCAACGAGACTTTTCAATCGTCTACCACAAACCGCACAACGAGTCCGGCGAGACAACCCTGAACCTGGGCCAAGCCCGACGATGTTGGCTGAAGAGGCTCGAAAAGTGCATCAACCGCGATCGGACTGAGGCCACTTAGACAATGTCGATGACGGTGACGCCGAGACTGTCAGGCGACTCTTTCTCCGCCTGCAAGGCGATCTGATCGTGAGTTGCGGTAAGGGTCGGGCCGCTGCCGTTGACGACGTCACTGACATGCCTTGGTATGCCTGAAGCCTCTGAGGTTTTGATGGTGCTGTGTATGGCTGAGCTCGCAAGGATTGGCGAAGTTGCCTTCTGGTTGCCAAGCGTGGTTGATCTTGCGGCAAAAGTTACGGTCAACTCTGGTTTAGAGTGTTAACTACGTACGACCGTCGACGCACTCAGAGAGCGCATGCTCACGGTCTAGTGTTCAAATATAATGATCTTATTCGTGTGTTTATCATCCTCTATCGACCTGGTATGGTCATGCAACGTTGCGAGTAGCAATCTATACTTCGCTTCCGACACAGATCCGTCCCTCGACCGCGAAGAAATGGCTCACCCAAAATCCAGGAAGTCTGCGGGTCGTGGATAACAGATAATGTAGCACCTACGTTTTCTGGAAGTTACGGTTATCTGTCACGTCGCGGTATCCAATTGGGTTTCTCGCCAGGATGTTTTCCGCAACATCGTTAAAGGCCGGATTATATAGGTTGTCCAGCAGAAACGCAATGCTGCATCTGGCCCTTGTAGTGACGGCAAGTGATACCCGAGCGCGTCCACGTCAAAGCACGCAAGGCCCAGGACTATTGCCTCGAGGCAGACTCACAGCAGCCTTTCCGCCGTCGTTCTTTGAGCATCCGTAATTCCACCATCCGATGCCCCGGAAGCGCCCAAGGAAATCGTGCACGGCAATCCCGACTTGGGTTGATCATTCTCAGCATTTGGTCCCCAGTGACGATCGTCGGTACAATCGTCACTGGGTCGTCCTTTCGCCATTAGGCTTGGCATCAACACACTTTCGAAATAGCTGACGCATCCTTTCTTGACTAGATAAGCGCGCCGATAGGAGTTTGTTTCACCCTTCCGCCAAATTTAGAGGCTAGGATTTCCTGTCGGTAGCCGCCCATCTTCGCTCTCCATTCATTTGAGGACCTCTTCGAGCCCGTCGAATCGGTTACGGTTTCGACGACTCTATTGCTCGCTCCTTCAATCTTTCTGGCAGCACATATGTAGAGGAAACATCATGGCGTGCTAAGAGGTGCAACAGAGCTCTAGCCTGCTCGCGTTTTGAGACAAAGACGAATTCAGTGCCCCGACATCGGCTGTGAGGCGGAGACTATAGAGGGCTATGAACCTACTCAACGTGGTCCTAACATTATGTCCAGAGCAAGTATGACGGGCTCCATCTTCTATCTATTACCATCTTTTCCGGGGTCAATACCGAATCGCCCGATACCGGGCCGGGAGTACTTTCACCTACCTTTGGCGAACCCGTAGCGATACAAACAACTTTAATGCCTGGCGAGGTCTATTCCTGTGTTATTCTGGCATTGCTACTAACGACAGCGGTCTTCTGGCACGACGCTTGAGGTACTGTCGCACGAGAAACAGCGTGAAGGCATAGCGGCGATTCAATCTCATTGTTTGTAAGCACAAATAAGTTGTGGTCTTACCACCCAAACCGGAGTGGAAGCCTAATGTCATTCCACTTCCTCTTATTCTCACGATAAAAGCAGGACAGCCCAGAGTAAAGCAAAGGAAGTCGACTTTCGCTTGTTGTCTAGGGACATACAGCGACGCCCAGGGAAGACCAAAGGTGTCGTCCTTCCTCAGGGTTGGAGACGATTTGGCACCTCCTGGGACGGGACAGGGGCAGGATATTACAAGACACAATGACGAGCACTATACCGGCAACTTTGGTTAGTGAACTGGACAGGTTTTGCATGAACCCAGGAGCTGCGATACATAGATCCTGTTCGAGCATCCTATGTACAACAGAATTCACCACTTCCTGCGTCATTGTTGTGATACGCCCGTTGGAACTATTCAAAGTCAGTCGAAGCGGGGCATTAGGTCAAATCCACAAGTGGACGAAACTAAGAGCGATGATCTTGAGAAGTTATCATGAGCTAGAGAGAACTTGGCCATTGATCTTCTCACGTAACTGAGGTCCTATCATACTCCGGAGCTGATCGAAGAATAATGGGTGCGCGCGTAGAAAAGCAAGCTCCCTTTGAGTGACATCCATGCCTTGTCGTAGCCGACTTTTGATCATCTGAACTCTGGTATCAGAATCGCATTCTGCCGACACCACTACTCTTCTCGGCGGCCTATGTTGTTCGAGGCCCGGCGGATATTTTTCGAGCTCTGCTAGTATTTCCGGGGGAAGTGTCCTGGTGATGGCGTTGCTGTGATCACATTAGTGAGCTGGAACCTCGATTGTGAGCTGTTCACACTGACAAAGATTGCCCTGTCCATTCAAACCATAGAAATCGAGGTTCCTCTGAAGTAACATGATCAAGGAGGAAATAACAACGCTGATTGTAGCAGCCAAAGTTGGCGCGGTGATTAAGCCATCGGTCTAATTTGGTGTCGAAGTCTCTGCCCCAGATTTCCTGGCAGATACTGTTCTTTAACCGTCTCAATTTATCGTGATAATCGCGACCGGGAACGAGGTGGGTTTTTGTTTGGATTAGGATGCGATCGAAACGTAGCGCCATGCTTGTAGGGAGTACATCAGAGTACATCAGAGCAAAAGCAACAGAGGGGTTCCAGCGGGCTTAAGTACGGACCTGTCGCAACATGACTAATCATTCGTCTGATACACTTATCTAACTCATTGACATGGGCCAAGGTCCCACTTTCAGTCCCACTAGCTCGCAAGCTCAGTTTTCTGCATCCGATGATGTTGGTGGGGTTGGGAGATGGGCACAATCGTCGCAACGACTGTCGAAATCCTCTGTCTCGTGATCGCCCTCATGATCGTAATTGTCCCATTCATTTGAGCCTTCCTCATTGGCGCCAGGATGGCTGTCCGCCCACTCGTCGCAAGCATGGAGTGTCTTGAACGTCAAACAGCCACAACTCCATCGCCGCCAGAGTTCTATGCACATGACGATGTTCTACACTTGGGTGAATAAGACGGTATGCTATCAGACCCTATTCCTTTGTTGCAGACGTACCTGAGCGCGCTTGATCGCGGAGTGATTGCAAGTTTTCTGTCAACGTTGACAATTGATTTATTGATGGGACTCTCCATCGTGTATGAGGAAGTGTCGACGCAAGTGGTGAGAGGAGGTAGCTGCCTATTTTGAATGCCACATGCCGCGCCACAATTTACCTGGAACGCAACAGGTTAAAGTGGATCTTGTCCCACGAGGGTACGCTGCGAAAGGGGTTAAATGACGTTTAGACTAGCTGGTGCTTATTGGCCCGAGATAACCTGGGTCAGCTGCGACAGAACATGCGGATTAGGAGACTTTCAACAGACTAGTCCGCTGAACGATGCGCCGTGGCGATTGACATTGCGAAGCCCCAGGTTGCTGGCGGGACTGGTCCACTGAGTCGGGCCCATCAGCTCAAAAGAAGCCCTGGCGCCCGTACAATGATGGACAGTGGCGCTGGCAGGATCTCGTCCAGAAGACGCACCATAAAGGATTCGAACATCACGCATAGATCTTGCCAGGTACAGTTGTGATCATACGTCACTTCCTCTCTCGCAAATATTCTCAAAGTTTGAGAAGCCGAAAGTTGCTGTGATGGGCCTCCGCAAACCTCTGGTAATGGCTGTTGCGGTTGGTTTGCAAACCAAAATGTGGGGTCGGCATGGTGTACGACAGTGCGAGGGGCAGCGTGTAATCAAGAGCTACTCCAAAGCATCCACAACCAGCTTTCACAGCAGTCACTCTCGTACTTCTGATTGTGGTCGCATGTACACAGCCAGAACGACTATGGGCCCGGCTTGTGTGGGTCAAGTCCAAAAAGATGAAGTGTGTTGCCAAGAGGAAGCAACATGTATGATCAAATATATACTATACATGTTTCTCCACAAAGGTTTGGAAAACTGGTGTCCGCCCTTCCATGAATCAGGTATGTACGTGTGAGGAGGCAGGGGTCCCTTGACAAAGCTGCTACATCCCTTTCACAGAATCCCGAAGTGGCTGATTGAACAAATTGCTGACAGCTGGCCATCATAGTACACAGTCAGCGTGACGGCGCCTAAACCTGCTGATGGTGTACATTCACAGTCAACAGCGTCAGCAACAAGCGGCATTCTCCAACTTAAGCATCGCGTTAAAGAGAAATCGTCCATTCCGAGCTGCCGTTTCATCCACTCGGTAAGCAGCTTACGGCACTGGCAATCCTTCTGCCTCAGCCCTCGCTCTGAGCACCAATTTGCTTCGTGGTGTCCTCCATAGCGTCGTTGCGCGTCGAGCTGACAGCGCGTTCCGGAGTTCGAAAAGATTTATATAGGTGTGGGGAGAACCGTGATGACCCGGATTTCAAACCTTGGGCTGGCCTTCTCGCTCTAATCTCCTCGTACTTTGAGCTCTCCTCTCCTGGATTGCCAGCTAGCGGTGCCCTATTCGATCTCCGGTAGTAGCACGACTATTGTCCGGTTCCACGCTCTACGGCATGATCACTGGCGTGGACGTCGCCTGCGCACTTTTTCGGTTCTCAGAGCCTGTGCGGTCCTTGGAGCCATCACGGGTAAGTTGAGTGTAGCGAAGGTTAAGGATGCTTTAGTGTCTGTCGTCAATTCGAACAAGCTCCGAGCGCTTAAGTGTGGGTCGGTCGATCCAACCACTAAAAACTCAGGGTTGATCGAAGATTGGCTGACTGTTTGACTCGACTGCCGAGTCTGCCTTGTCGAGGCAAGCTGTTCTGAATCGGTAACGCGAGGAGAAACGTTCTGAATGTGACGTCACAGTTGAGTGGATTGGCAGGCTGGTAGAGGCCGAGATCCTTTAATCACAACCACCACCACCTCGGATGAAGTGATGTGGCTGGTGCCCTGATACAAGGCCTGCTCGAATGTAGCTTTCGAGTGAGGAGAAGTTGTTCATGATGGGCAGTGGAGAGTGTGTAGGGATCAGGGATCAGCAAAGTCACTGTTTGACAGATGCGTTTGAATACTACCATCTTCTTCAACCTTGACGGCGCCAAATTTGGATATTCGGAAACCACAAAAACCCTTTCAAGGGCGGCCACTACTTACTTTTGTGGGACCATCCACTCTGATGTTACGGGCGCTTAGCCAGCGATCATCAGTGAAACAAACTCGGACTAGGGGGGTCACGGGTGCAGTCATCGTGGGAAAGGAACGTTTGTCGGAAACGGGGTACGCTCCCTCGCAACAGTGCTCTACTGCGTAAGCTGGCACTCTTCCCGAAACCTTGCTGAGGCTTTAGTGCGCGCGGTACGTTGGAGCCAACAAAGCTTAAGCCCCGGAGCTACTGGCCTCTGCATTCGCTAGAACGGGCCTGCTGTAGAGACCCGCCGTCACGGGCGCTAAGCTAGTCGGGCACGCATAGCAGCAGGGAATGAACGGAGCGGCTACTACTCCGTAATGCAACCTACCTGTCCCCTCTCTTGGTCAATAGTCCAAGGGGGCTGGCGGCGCGATTCCCATTGATGGAATCCTGCATTGACCAGGCGTTCCAATAGGACGCGCCAAAGTGCATGTCCTCACAAAAGCTGTGTTGGCGCATCGGCGCGCTGAGAGGCATCTCCTTCTGCCTTTACATATTTCGGGAGGTTTCAACGGGACGGGCAATGTCCTGTATCCAGTAGTATCAAGACTAACAAGTGACATAGAATCTGAAGGACCTTTAATGCGAGACGCCAGACCTGATCCTTGCGCACATGGCGTGCCAAGAGAGGGGTTGAGATGCGATTGCACTCCACTTCCGCTGTTCAGATGAGTTGACGCCCCTTTGCGTGTATCAGAGCTGCGGGAGCGCCCTTTGAATGAATGGTTTGGAAGAACCCCATCGCCAGTCGCGTCCACACTTACGATATCTGTGGAACCGCCGGCACTGCAAAGGTCAAATATTGACCAGCAGCAGTCAGTATACATTGTTAAACTCGTGGAAGCGAGTTCACCCGGCATTGGTGCTAGTACCAACTTCGGCGTTTCGCACACGGAACGCATTTCTCCAGGGTCTGTAATCATTCACGGAGTACACCCTCAAGCCCTGCGACGCGCCGATACACTCGTACAGCTGGGATGAACAATACAAAAAGAGACCGCGTAAGGTGTGCTTTGCGATTGCTCACAGCTCATGCGGGCGCCGTCCAACCGTTCTCAGCAGACGACTGTCATCACCATCGCCGTGGCGCAGCTATCAGCGCTACGAGGTCACCATTTCCCTGTTCTTTCGACTTCCCGGGAGGTGCTTGCAGACCGCACATTGGCGGAACAAGCTACCGGCTGCTGTACCCGACCCACAGAGCAGTCGATACAGTACGGCGAGACAAAAGAAAAAAAGCCGCTTCGCACAAGATGGACGGGTCGAGCAGGCTGACTCCATATTATAGCACCCCTGCCGAGAGGCAGAATGAACATTACCTGTAGGATCAACCTCACCCAGTACTCGTCGTGTTGCGGCTAAGGTAAGTGCGAGCGCGATCCATTCCTGCTCGCCATGAGTTCACATCAAGCAAGTCACGGGCAGGCGTTTCGGTGCAGAGAGCCAGATGAGACGCACATCCCGAAAATGCCGAACGCTGTCCTCTGGCCTGTTCCACCTTCCCTGCCTCGCCAAAGAACACAGCCTCACGCTCATGAATGTGCAGAGGCCCTGCTTGGTGCTCAAGTCTTACCGCTCAAACGATCGCTGTTCTACGTCCCTGGTCGAATCGGACGTGGCAGACTTGAGCGAATCACTCTTTGCTCTCCTGAAAACTACTAGGCAAAGATGTCTACCCGTTTCGCACAGAACGAACTGGGACTTCGGCGGATGGCATGGAATGGCGTACCGGAGCAGGGGTGGACGAGTACCTTGCTGTAACGATCAAACGACCCTGGTTCGTCGCCATACGACGCTAGCGTGTGCGACATACCTACTTCGAGCACGAACAGTGGTGCTGGCGTGTGTATCCCCTTGGTAGCTTGCTCAGTAGGGTCGGGGACACTGGAACGGCTGGTGGCAATCTATCGCTGATGACGAAGCACGAATCGTCTCTCAGTTATCGCTAATCAATGGCGCGCGGATCATTGGCCATTTCGACGACACATCAAAGTCGGCGAGCGCAGTCTACCAACATGACAAGCCCAGACCGTAGAACTCGGGTCGACGGTGCATCGACATAGCTGGGCATGACGGCCATGCATATATGCGGTGTTGCCTGTCGTGTCGTCCCTCCAGGGCGCCGCTGAGCTTCTTCGCGCTGCGCCTACCTTGGAAGTGAGCTGGGTCAAGTTAGGGGTATTTCTGTAGTCCACCCTCATGGCTTTATGCCGGACCACAGGAAAGAGACGAACTGGTGTGGGCTGCTACGTACTGTATAGTCCTCAGCCACCCTAGGAATTCCCGATGGGCTGTTGTACCCGGACATGTTCGTTGAAGGTGGTTCAAAGGAAGTGCCCCAGATTAGACTCTTCATCGCCGCCATCCCACATGCTCCCCGCCGTGTACGACGCTCATCATCGACCTTGGGGAAGATTCATTACGCACGAGCTGTACGCAATAGACAGGCCGCCGAAGACCTCTGCTGCCTGATTCCGTCAAGGATCACGCGCTGCCCCTGGTGCGGCGTAGAAGCATCTTGAGAAGCAAAGCATCTTGGGGGTTTAGGCAAGCGAGCAGATGGCACCGATATCCTTGTCTGCGGATGGCTGCGGGCGCGTCGCTGCTTCTAGGCCCAGTGATGCCCCGCTCAGCAAGCCTCCATCAGCCATCCCGCCTCATCCGTCGCTGTCTCTGACTATTTCCTGTGTTACGCAAGGCCGCAGGGCCGGCCTTTTGCCGGGCATGTATGTCCATGGTCATTTGCGGCCAAGGGATCCAAACCTTTTTTCTCTTCTTCTCGAACATCGGGTGCATTACGCACCTCAATTGAACAATCTGCACGCGTAAAGCGCACTGCGTGCTAACGAGACAGTGACTGCCACCGTTGACCAACGGCCGGGTCGACGGTTGGGGTCATGCGGACTGCAAGTTGTCAAGCTGAGCAACTTGAATGCATGGAGACAGCTTCCGCCACGTAGCCCGCCAGCATTCGCCCCAAACTGTGCAGCCGTGCAGCTGATATAAGTCAGAACTAGGCACCGTGAGCGCTTCATGGCGGACCTCAGGAAGGCTAAATTGTGTACTGCCTCCGAAAGGACCGCAGAACTTCATGTTCCTGCTCAAAACACATGGATTCTTGTCAATTTCGGATTCGATACATAGGCTTTCCATAGATCAGCTCCTTCGCCAAGTTTCATTCGAAATGATGCCACCATGCGATGCTGGTGGAAGAAGGTCGACCTTTCCGGTGTACCCCAGGCCACATCTAATGTCAGGTGCTGGCATCTTGATGTCTACTCGACTTCAGAAACGCTGTCACAATCAGACTGTTCGTAAATCTGATGGTGGAATTTTTGTAGACCGAATGCTACGATGCGAGGCTCGCAGGTCTTCAGTCCAGCATTGGACGCTCGATCGAGGGCTATTGCTCAGCGTTTCGGGGTACTCCGCTAAACTAGCCCTTCTCTTAGAGAAAATTCTCGATTCGACCTGTTTCCACGAAATATCGAAGACAAAATTCGACATCGCGAGTGAGAGCCTGAGTTTAGAGTATCGAAATGGAGTGCTTCGGGCACTCATCTTCCAAGTTTTGGAACTTGTATCATGCATTAATTACGAGCTCTGGCATCCAGGCGCAGCACTGTTGCGCGAGTCGGTCAACACCGTCGATGACGTTTCTCAACCCAGGAGTAAGATCCTCTCGCTAATACATATTGAGTGCTTCGCACAAGGCAACTTCCAAAAACTCGAAGCTATCGGTCTGGTAAACTTGATTGAGAAGACCTTGAAGCCCCGGGAACCAGCGGGAAGTTAGTGGCCCGTACCTCAATCTCTTATCATCTCCAAGGGATCGGACTATCTTCACAGAA